AGTTTTGTACAAAAATACCTTGTCTCAAGATAGTAACTAAGAAGCAAGCACTGTGGTGATGAAGCCACAAGGGCAGAGAGCCTGATCCCCAGTCAGGTGGTGTTCCTTCCCTTCCTTTCCCCAGCAGATGTAGCCCATAGGGTGTTAGAAAGCACCCAGCCCCTGCACACATTTCATAAGGCACTGGTTTGTTCATTGGAAATTGATTATCTTCTTGATTACATCATGGGTTACACAACCAGGTTTTGCCTGTGACATTGACCTCAGGAGATGTAATCTGCTCTCCAGAGGACTAGGTATGAAGTAACCATCTCCTTACTCAAAGGGAGTCCTACATGTAGCCTGTTTTCTTTGCTCCTTGAAGTACTGTACTTCAAAGCATCTTTTCTAATTCCCTGGGCATCCTGCATTTTTCAGGTCAGCAATAATCTTGCTGTTAGTATTATTCCTCACAGTTTGCCATCTGCCCAACTGGGAAGCAGAGACAGTTGATTTCCAGCAAGGATTTTAGAAGCCATGCATTCCTGCAGTACCATTAGTTGCACATACAGGCTGGAAAATTGCATTTCTATACTAGTAAGCAATGCCTTTCTCTAGGTCCTGAGATCTGATATTGTGTGCAACCATACCCATATTATGCAACCATCTCTGCTTCCTGAACAAGGTTACCACACCAGACTGCCTGCTGGAATACTTTCTAGCCTGGATTTAGCATTGAAACTGCTCAGGAATTTTTGGCAGAGTGCTAGCGGAGGTCAAAGTTGCCAAGGCCATTCCAAAAGTTTATTATGGATGATCAAACTCTAGCACTCCTGTCCTGACACTATTTAATCTGTTAGAGCAGACACAGAGAGATTGGCTGAATCACTGTCCAGACTTCACTGGCAATATCAGCTACACCTCAATGAGTAATAATGAGATTTTGGACACGGCAGAGACAGCAGACTTGCCTGTTATCTATGCCAACCATCATGTGTGTGTAGGTGAAGGTCAATGCCACATTGACCTGTCTGATGTATGTGACCCCATAGAATCACAGAATCGTTTGTGTTGGAAGGGACCTTTAAAGATAATCTAGTCCAACTCCCTGCAATAATAGGGGCACCTACAGTGTGCTGTTTGTGCTGCTTCCTACAATAGCATCTGCACAGAAGACTTGACATCATCAGGAGATGCAGCACTCCAGAAACAGTGATATGTGAGAGATCAGGAAACTCATCAGACAAGTGAAGGCTGTGGGGAGGCCTCATTGTGGCCTTCCAGTGCTTAAGGGGATGTTGTAAACAGGAGAAAAATCAACTTTTGCATGGACTGGTAGGACAAGTTGAAATGGCTGCAAACTATGAGAGGGGAGATTTAGATTGGGATTCAGAGGGAAAGCTTTCACTGAGATGGCGGTGATGCCCTGGCACTGCTGCCCAGAGCTGTGGGTATCCATCCCTGGAGGTGCCCAAGGCCATGGATGGGCTCTGGGCATCCTGAGCTGCTGGAGGGGAACCAACCTGTGGCAGGAGTTGGGACTGGGTGAGCTTTAAGGTCCCTTCCAACCCAAGTCATCCCATAATTCTATGATTCTAGGATAAGGCTGGAGAGGAATTTGCCTTCTCTCCATAGCAATCAGCACCTCCTGCCTCACATTCTCCCTCATGTACATTGGTTGTCATTCCTTCTAACTCCATCTCTACAGGGGAATCTTCATCTTGCACAGATTTTATGGGGATGTTACATTGGCTGTGTAGCTTTTTAGCACCTGTGTGCACAGGTTTATTTAACTAACTCACTGTATGGATTGCAACACGATGACAAATGCAATGGAGATAAAAGCAACCAAGGGTAGCCAAGCTGCCAATAGGTAATAATTGACCAGATTGCCAGACTCCAGCAGTATGGTATCCTTGAACTCGGTGCATACAGTGGCTTTTCAGTCTCCTTTTCTGCCTGCATCAGACCCGTGTGCCTTTTTGAGGATGCTAGGAATTTACTCATCCATTGGCATTCTCTCGTTTAGAAAAACCTGCATGTTTTTGTTAAAATTACCCTACATGTACTTGGTTATAAGAGGAATGTAAGATTTCAGTCCATGTTCCTTCATCTGATTAGCTAAATCTTGGAAGCTTAAGGCTACTGAAGAACAAAGCATTGTCAGATTTTATTCTCTTACTTTGCTTTTGACCAATGAAAGATGAAACGCCACAAATATGAATCACTCTGTAAGTATTGCAAGGATCTGTGCCATAATTAAGAATGTAAGGAGACTGCTGAAGTATTTGTAGGCACAAAAATGGTGTTACTGATATGTAAGTCTATGCTCTTCTAAATAATCATGTGCCTATGTAGCTTTAAATGCATATTCCTAGTTAAAATGGCAAAATCAAAATTTACTGTGCCCAAATACAGGTACACCTGTATCATTAAACACTCCTCAAAGCATAACAGTGCTCAGACCCTACGAGCAGCTCATCCCCAAATTTTACTAGCCGTTAGCTTCTAAGCTGTGCTTGAGAGAACTCTGAGAAAACATTGGCACAAAAGCAAACAACACGGCACCCGTCATGAAGCACATTTAGCTGGAGATAGTTGGCCTATCAAGAAAGGAAGAAAAGAGGGAGATATCCACACAGACCCTTTCATTCACTGCTAATACGTTCGAGGAACTTCCAGGGAACATTTAGTTGTGTCGAGGGACATGGTTTAGTGAGAACTATTGGTGATAGGTGGATGGTTGGACTGGATTGTCTTGTAGGTCTTTTCCAACCTTGGTGATTCTATGATTCTATGAATATTTTCAAGGCATTCTTTCTGTCGTATCCACATTGCAGCATTCCTAAATAGGATTTTCAGTTACACCCCTTACAACCTACTTGCTTAGCTCCATTCTCTTGGGGTAGGCACGTACAGCTCCTGGAGCTCCCAGATCATGTCTGGAAGTTAACATTCAGCAGAGGTTCCAGCAGAACTCCTTTCTAGCCCTGGCAGCCATGGGAGCAGCTCCATGTACACACCGGTGTGTTCCAGCCAATGGTCAGTGCAACATCAAATGTTCTGCTCTCGGGGCATTCTGTACAAATTTGGCCTGGTCTGAAGCAACCAGCTTGCACCTGTCTTTGTTTTTGTTAGCAGTCAAAGTCATGGAATTTTCCTATTGCTGTGAATGACATTTTAAGGCTGTATGCATGCTAGCAGGGCTTAAAATATTGCTTGCTTTACTGGAGTGCTGCTCTCCCCCTCTGAGAATTAAGTGTTTGTGTCGAGATCTGTGAATGCTATGGAAATTTGCACCACTGAGATATTATCTGTTTGATAGTCGATATGGGTTAATTTGCATGTGGGGACCAACACAGCCCTAAAAGTGAGCAGAGCTTGTTTAAATAGTGATAGGATAACAGTGAGAGGGAATGGCCTCAAATTGCACCAGGGGAGATTCAGGTTGGACATTAGGAAATACTGCTTTTGCAAAAGAGTGGTCAGGCACTGGACTGGGCTGCCCAGGGAGGTGGTGGAGTCACCAACCCTGGGGGTGTTCAAAGAACATTTAGATGTTGTGTTGAGGGACATGGTTTATGAGAGCTATTGGTGATAGGTGGATGGTTGGAATGGATGATCTTGTAGGTCTTTTCCAACCTTGGTGATTCTACTGTTCTATGGTTCTATAAACGTTGCATGTCGTCATCATTGGACAATTTGCAAGGCAGGGGATGAAAGAGAACATTCTGAAGTGCTGAGCAGTCCCTGGTGATTAGATTTTATGGATGAACGAGTAAAAACGGTGTTTACCTTATTGTTATTCACTACATTAGCAGGTGACTCACCTGGCTGCTACCTTGTTACTGCCTAAACTTGGTAGTTAGCATGTAGATTAAACATAAGCATCCGTCATGTCTTCATCTTGCTAAGAATTCTTAGAACAAAAATAGCATCAAATCCCACTGAAATCTAATAAATGAAATAACAAGGAAGCAAACCACTGAACCGGAATGCCAGAAGCAGGAACTGAATAAACATCTGTGCTTTGAGCTGCATCAAGGGTGGGTCAGGTGGGGGTGAGGGAAAGGTTCTTCCCCAGAGGACGGTGGGCATGGAGCAGCTCCCAGGGCAGTGAGCACTGCTGGAGCTTGGGGAGCACTGGGATACCAGTCTCAGATGTAGGGTCTGAGTTGGGGGGTGCTGTGTGAGGACAGGGGTTGGGTTCAATGATCCCCGTGGGTTCCTTCCAGCTCGGAGCATTCTATGATTCTCAACATTTCAGGAGTGAGTGGCAAGCCTGCACATCACATACAGTAAAGTCATCTTTGCCAGGGCTAATGTTAGCCACTGAAAGGACCTCCAACCTTAATGATTCTATGATTCTATGATCCCTCCCTTATTATCCATAAATCTCTTACGGGTTTATACCATTCTCCAAACCTTTTGGGGCAATAGGAGGGGAAATAAAAGTGGGTATCAAAAGCTGGTAAAATGCAAAGAACTCAAGGTGGGATATGAGTGAGAATTACAGGAGAGAAAGACCTTTGTGTCAGCCCTCTGCACTGGGTGAGGTTAGTCTGGAGCTTGCATAAAAAGTGGCAAAGCAAAAATGCATCAGGACCGAAACGTTTCCCATTGCTTTCCCTCGGTAAGAGGGATGGGGAGACAAATGCTATAGGAATTGTCAGCAAGCAATAGGTCCAGGGCCAAGGCTGGGATTGGGCTCCAATGGCTGACCACCAAGCCCTCTGCATGTTCCATGCCTGTGCCCATGCTGGAAACAAATCTGCAAAAGCCAGAGGTTTGGGGCTTGGCTAATAGCCCCATTATACAACTGGCCGTCACGGTCAGTGGAAATTCACTGTTGCAGATTGCAACATTTTCACCAGATCTTTCACTGCAACTTGTGATATGGGGGATAACCAATTGCTTGACAAAAGGTTGGGTGCAGTTACTTATTGACAGAGCACTCAGCCGTCAAACTTTCACAATCCCGCAGCCCCTATAAATGCCAGGCACCTTCCCTCGCCTCTTCCTCAAACAAACACCATCCTCCTTCGGTCTTTGAGGATTTGGGGCACACAATCCACAGCTGAGCCATGAAGATCCTCTGCGTGCTCTTCGCTGTTCTCCTCTTCCTCTTCCAGGCTGCTCCAGGTGAGTTACAGCATAAATCCAACCGCTGAGAGGAGATGCAAGCACAAGCGTGTGCCTAGGAGGAAAAAAAGGCTGTGGCCAACTGATAGGCAATCTATGATGCTGGGGCTACACGTCATCTATTCTCAGGCAGAATCTATTCTTGAAAAAAATGAAAAGCATATGATTTATTGCATATTTATCCTTTATTGCATATTTATCCTTTATTGCATATTTATCTTTTATTGCATATCTATCCATTACCACATATTTATCTTTCACTGTTCAAAACTAAAAGCTGAGATTTTAACGCCTTCCTCTCCCCACAGGCTCAGCAGATCTATCTTTCCCTGACACCACAGCATGCAAGGCCCAGGGGAATTTCTGCCGTCTAGGGGCATGCCCCCCCACCTTCACCATCTCTGGACCGTGCCATGGGGGGCTGTTAAACTGCTGTGCCAAGTAAGTGCTGCAGGGTGGAAATAGCATTTTATTTCTGCTATTTGCCTGCTGCTCCTTTGTGCAGGATGCACACATCTGGGGGGACGGGGGGTCAATTTTGGTCTTTTCAAGGAGAAATATTTCCTTATATCCAACCTGATCCTCCCCTGGAGCAATCTGAGGCCTTTCCCTCTTGTCCTGTTGGTAGTTATGCTGGAGAAGTGGTCATGTTTAAAGAGGTAATTAATTTTGATGGGAGCCATGTACAAGAGTAGAAGTTCAAGAGCGCCAACGTTTCCCAGAATTCAGCATTTCCTTCCCAAATTTGATTTTAGATGGGGAAAAAGAAAACAAAGAAACTTATTACAAAGATATCTGACAGTATTTTTACCTGTTAGAGGGAAAAATGTGTCAACCATTCCTCTGTGCTTTTCCCAAAAGACCTGTGTTTTAATAAGGAAAATATCTACTTCTTCCTCCTACAACCCTGCATCTCTTAGGTGTGAATTTGTGATTGAATGAAGGCAATAGTGTTTGTATTGCACTTTTGATTTTGGAGACCAACTTCTAATAATGCCTGCAGCTCCCCTAGTAGCAAGACTTTTCCTGTCCTTAAGGATTTAAATGCACATCTGAGGAGTGCACTTCAGCTTAGGGTCAAAGATACGTCGCAGGCATCTCAATTTGACATCTCAAGCTGTCAGATTGTGGTTTCAAGAAGCTCAGGCCTCACCAATATTAGGACAGGTTCATTGCCATGATGTCAATGATATTAAGGAAGCAGCCACTTAGGAATTTAGGAAAATAAACAGCACAGAAGCAATTTACTATTAAATGATTTTGCAAAGGGATAACTCAACTCAAATCTACTCCTGAATAGAATATCCCATGCATGATATCAGTGGATGCCAATGTTCAGAACTGAATTTCTTCTTATTGAGATGCTTGTTTTCAGCTGGCTTGATTCATTACAGTAGAAGCTGAAACCAGTAAGGTATTCTGATATCTTCTTTTTCTGACTGTGAATTCAATCTATTCGGAAAGAAACTGGACACAAAGGATTTGATTCAATAAACAAAACTGTGGTGTTTAGTGGCATTTGAGGTGCCTTGGAGTATCTAAACCACACTGATAAGTCTGGCTGATGTGACCTGTAGGAAAGCAATGTTGGAGGCCAAGAAACACCTACTCCAGGGCTCTTCAAATGGCACTGAACTTGTGTGTTTGAATCATGAAACAAAACCCCTGGTTTATTGCTCTGAGGAGAGCTGAATCAATAACTTACTACCGGAGGTAACAGATCTGGTTTGCCGTGAGCACAGTCCATGCAGACTGGTTGTGTGCAGACCTACGCACCCAGCTCATAGGCACCCTTCTCTGTAGGCATCTACGTGAAGGTTTTTACAAACTGCATCTCAAACTCAACATATATGTTTATTCTTGATGGTGATTAGCAGCAGCTGAGTCTTTCAGAGGCTGAGCTTCATCCCACTTCAGCAAAGTAACGAGGTTCTTTGTATCCCTACAGGATTCCGGCGCAGTAAGGAAGGGCTTGCACTGGGTCAGTGCCCTTGTACCAGCAACATTTCCACTGCCTTGAGGAGCTGATTTTGATGGATTCCTCCTCTGTCTAAATCCTCAGCAAATGAGCTTTCAGAGAAGCTTCCAGAGGGCGCGACCTGTTAGCACACTGCTTCTGGAGATCCAGGCTTTCCTTGCTGAAGTCACTCCCTTTTTTGCTTTTAATTAATACACAAGCCACTTTGGCATCTTGGCCACCTATTCCAGCCTACCTCACGGGATATTTGGATGCTCAGTCACTTCAGCATGGAGCATATGCAGCAATACATATGTTATTATTTTATTCACACGCCCAAATAAATGTCTTCTTAAACCAAGAATTATGATCTCTTATCGTTGCTAAACATCAGACCTGTATTCAGTAACATTCATAAAAGAATATTAAATGTGTCTTCTAAGAAGAGGAATATGAAAAAAAAATAAAATCAAACTGTTCCTAGGAGATATTATGGGAATGACTTCTCTGTGTTTTGGAGAAGAGGTAGAAACAGATATAGCCAAGAAATCTATAGTGCTAAAATGCAAAACCAGGATGTTTTACAGCATATCCTCCTATAATTTCAGCCTCACAATTAACTTCTTTTCTCCTGTCACAACTGGTCATGGAAGCAAGTGGTCTGGTTTTGGAGTCAATTTCTTACATCCATCATCTTGAAAGGTTGTTATTGCAACAAGAGGCTGAAACCAGGAATTCCCACGTGGCAGAGGAGCCTATTTTTAGGTGATTTACAGGATTCCCATATCTCCGAATATGGATTTATATCCAGCCAAAGAAACTGTTCCTTCTCCACCACTGGAGCTTTTTATCTGTCAGTATATCTATCTATCTGTCTGTCTTCATGTCTGTCCTTTTATCTATTCTATTTCTCCTATGAAGAAAGGCTGAGGGAACTGGGCTTGTTTAGCTTAGGGAAGAGAAGGCTCCAGGGAGACCTCATTGTGGCCTTCCAGTGCTTGAAGGGAGCGTATAAACAGGAGGGGGAAAGAGTGGGTAGTGAATGGGACAAGGGGAATGGTTTTAAAGAGAGACAGGGAGGTTTAGGTTGGATATGAGGAGGAAGTTTTTCCCCCAGAGGGTGGTGAGGCACTGGCACAGGTTGCCCAAGGAGGCTGTGGATGCCCCATCCCTGCAGGCATTCAAGGCCAGGCTGGATGTGGCTCTGGGCAGCCTGGGCTGCTGGTTGGTGACCTGCACACAGCAGGGGTTGGAACTGGATGAGCATTGTGGGCCTTTGCAACCCAGGCCATTCTATGATTTTATGATCCATCCATCAATCTATATTAGCTTTTGTGGGAAGGTGGAAGGATTTAAACAATGTGAGAAGAATCTCAATCAGAAGCAGAAAGGAAATGCAGAAATCAGAAAAGTTCAAATTAACAGAATCTGTTATTTTATTTCCTTCCTGTGGTCTTAGTTTCCTCATCAATCTCTCCCATTTTGCTAGTCTTAAGAGCACAACACTTCCAACTTTTACCAATTCAGTTCATTGCATGCATACCCTGAGGATGAAGAGAAGAAGGAGAATGACCAATCTTCAGCTGACCCATTTTTTTCACAGAATAGATGGACCTCTACTTGCAGATAAAATGTCACAAAGAAATTACAGTGTCCTTAAATGCCTTAAAACCCACTAATAGTTTAATTTAACTCCATTCTTGACATGCTAGAGGTGACGTAAGCTGCTGGAGTTCCCTTCTTGAAATGAAGAGGTGACCTGCAGAAGCCCTCTTTGTTTATTAAGACTCAACTACATCTACACCAGTGACAAAAAAGTGCAGGAGCAGTTTTGTAGTGAAGTGGAAGACTGCTGACAAGACCTCTCTTCTTCCAAAGTCAGATGGTTGCACTTGTGGTGCACAGCAGAACTGTCTCTAGTGTGTGCAAACCCCTGAGCCATGACTTTTTCAGGAAATGCCTGGTTGACCCATTCCTAAGTTTCAGTGAAGACCCTGCTAGCATCTAACCATCAGCCATACATCTCACTCCCAGCACTTGGTTCCATTCTAGTACTGTAGGCACAGCTCATCTCTTTCCCATCCCTCAAGTTCCCCCTATAAGAAATCTTTGTTATTAAGTCTGGATAAATTCAGATTTCCCTCTCCTCCCAGTGAAGCACACCTGTAGTGTTTAAGCCATAGAGATCTCCAAGCAGAGTGGTCCCTCCTTGTCTCTCAATGCTTCATCTCACACCCATCCAAGGGCTTTTGTTTTGACTGCATCACTTTTCTGTCTTGAATCTCTCATTCACTGATTACTGACTGTTCCCCTCAAGATGTCCCTCATCCCATGTCTATTGAGAATGTCCCTGGTAAGAAATTCTGTTGGTTTTTTTTTTCCTCTCCTGGAGATCTGCAGGAAAGCAACTGGATCAAATCTGTTTGATAGTGCATCTCAATAATGATTCAAATCAGATAATACAAACCACAGGGAAAAAGAGACCTCGCAACTGAGGCACACCTTTGAAAGCTAACGCGGGACATCAGGAAACCTCTTTCTCAACTACCTGAAGGATGAACCAGTTTTCAAAGCAGTGATTGTGATACAGACTTTCCAATAACTTGCTGCTCAGTGACTTCTCCCCCTCGTAGCTTGTTGCTATGGTAGGAAGCCAGATTGGAGGCTGTCCTGTGGCCAACCTTGCACAATCACTTCAGGTACTAGGGCTGGAGAACTCCCTCTGAAGCCTAGTTTAATGCATGAGAAGACTCTATCAAGTGCTCCATCAAGGGTAACAAACATCCCGCCCACTGTTACAGTTGCTGTGTATTCACATATCTGAGCCCCTCACTGCTTTTCTTTCTGGTGGTTGGTGACCCTGGTGGTTGAAACTCGATGGTCACTGTGGTCCTTTTCAACCCTGGCCATTCTATGATTCTATGAATTCACTCTTTCTGGCTGATGGATCTGCCATTCTTCACAAGGGCAGGGCCCATGCAAACTCTTCCTCCTGTTCCTTTGCTCTCAGGTCAGATGCATACCTCAAGGTAGACAGCTCCCCATCAGTAACCGCCCTACTGGTTTCTCTGTGTGCTGGGGACTGTTTGCCAGCATCTCCTCTTGGTTCTCAGTGAGAAGGGAGAAGCAAGACACATTGCCCAGGCTCCCTTTTCCCAATCCCAGGCCATCTTTGTGGGTGCTCTTATTGCCTGGACTGTGTTTATCATTCAGTGGAAAGAGACTGCAGAGGGAAATGAGGAAGATGGAGCCATTTCCCCTTTCCTTCCTTCTTGTGACAGTGTTTGGATCCAAAGAGCACTGAATATCACGTAGTACCATGTGCTGATGTCAGCAGGCTCACTGCCCAAAACAAACATCCGTGGGACAGGCAGGGAAAGGTTGTGTAAGAAGGATGCAAGTGCATCTTCCTTCTCCATTAAGTCCTGCTATTCTTGCAAACTTGATAGCAAGCAGCTTCACCCTTGATGTCTTGCTTTTTGCTGGTCTGGAATTCAGTTTTCTCTTCATGTTCGGCAGGAGTTGAACGCAATGATCCTTATTGATCCCTTTCAACTCAGGCTATTCTATAAGGACTTCAACTCAGAAACGTATCTGATCAATGCAAAACTGTCAGCCCAGGAGGTGAAAAGGGAAGGAAACATACATGCATACCCTACATACATCTGCTGGATGTAGTGCCTATCATGTATCACAGAAAGATAGGAGGCTCACTGCCCTTCCCTTGGAGCTCATGAGGTCATGGCAGCAGACGTTCCTACAATCTTATACATGGTCCCACTTGTCCCCCCAGCATTACATAGCTCCCCAGCTTGCTGAGCATGGACAAAAAAGCAATTTGTCTTCTTTCCCACCTGGCTCCTCTTGCCCATACTCAACCTCTTCATTCACTTTCCACTGTAAAGAATATTTTTGCATGTTTCTGAAATCCTGAAGGCCTGACATAGCCATGAAAAGAACATGGTGTGCTTTTTCACAAGCTGTAGCACCAGCTTCATGCCCAGCACCCAATTTGTTTCAACTGCTTTACCAGATATGGAACACCATGCTCTCTGCGCACAAGCCTAGCTGACTTCCTGCTATTTATTTTTGCACAGAAGCAGTAAAAAATTAAGCACCCTCATGACTTAATTTCATTAATGATTCTTGGCTCCTGGTGTTTGCAAAAAGAAATGCCAATAAGACGTGCAGTTTTCACATGCCTCAAGAGTGGCATTTCTCAATGATAAGCACAGGTATTAAGGCTGTAGCCATCAGAGTGGGGTAGAGGAACTCAGTGCAGGCCGGAGCCTTGAGGCACACAGGCTCACCATTCTGAGACAACTTGGTGGCCAAAAGGGAACTGGGATGCAGTTCTCTCCCACAACAGAGTGGCACAATGCACAGTGGTGTTACTTCTGGTTCTTTCTGTCTAATGTCTTCATCTTCCTGGTGTGGTAAAACGTCATGGCTGAGGTCTCAAATGCAGGATGCAGATAGCAATTGAGCTTTGAACTGTGCTAGAACATCTGGGAGAAATTGCACCAAGTTGCAGATCTCATGGACAGGGATGAGGGATGTCCACAGCCCTTTCACTTCTGACTCCTACACATGCAGCCCCACAATTCCAACTCAAGAGAGGACCAAAGCCCTGACCCACTCCTCCATCCAAGTAGGAGGATCTGTTGCATCCCTGTTTCATGCAGTCTTGGTATGTTAGCAGTACCCCATGGCTGGGAAGGGGACAGTCTGTGACAGCATCATGTCCAAGAGCCACAAGGCATCAGCAAACCTGCTTGGTTTACAGTATTGTGAATCACAGGAACCCACCTCCCTCCTGCTCCAATCCTGTGTCCTCTCCGGGTGCAGCCCATCAGCTGAGCACAGGGCGTCATTTGGTCCTTGTTCAGGTCAGGCATCTTCAAATGTGTTGGGTTGCAACATCTTCATACATCACCAATCTCTACAGTCATAGGACAATGAACTTTCACCACTCCTCCTCCCCTGAAGTGTCTGCACTGTCCAGACCCACAACCTTTATAAGTGCAGGGACCAGCCATCTTCTGCCTCATACTTCAGCTTCTGGACACCTTCAGATATCTTCACAGCTGCAAAGGCTATTCCACTGCAGAGGGCAATCATGAGAATCCTGTTCGTCCTTGTTGCTGTTCTCTTCTTCCTCTTCCAGGCTGCTCCAGGTAAGATGGAAAATAGGTGAGATGGAGACTAAAAGGGGAAATGTGCAGAGAAGTCCTAGCCTCTATGCACTTGGACTCTTGTCATACATACACTCCCTTTCCTTATTCATAGCCTATTGAGTCAAGGTCCTTGACTTGCCTGTGATCTCATTCTAGCCCTGAGCATCTCGCATCCGGTTATATGATTGAAAGGATGGAAAGAAGATTATCTCCCTGTGTGTTCAGGCAGCTCAGTGGGATGATGCTTAAGACACCATCTTGCAGAATGAGAGCTTTCTCTTCTCACATTTACACTCGCACCTCCCGAGTGTGTATTCCAGATCAGCAGACCTGTATTTTTCAAATAATATAGCTGTGACTGTGGGGCTTTGCCTCAACTCTGTTTTCACAGTGCATTTAATGGGTTTGATATGCTTAATTCCAGGCTGTTCTAAGTGCTTCAGAGAAGTTTAAGCTTTCTCCATTGCTGCTTTGATTTGCAGTAGATTTACATTTGTACTTCCTTTCTTAGCTCAGCAAGTGCCTGTCTACTCAGTGAAGGGATGTAGAATCACTTGGCCCAAAAGCAGCCACTTGTAGGAGATTCGTTTAAATAACGTGCAAAGAATGCAATTTGAGTTCCAGGCTGAACATCTCAGTTGGAATGAGTAATGTTTAACCTGTAAACCCTCTGACCCAAACCTGGGGTAGCATTTCACATGGGATAAGCCCAGGCAGTTGTCCTGGCGATGATGGAGTTGCAGTTTGACATCACCTGAGCGTTTGGCTTCAGCTCTGAACATATCAGTCGTGGTTAAACCAGCACAGTGGTTACCTAAAGCCATTTGCAGCACCAGTGACAACAGTCACTGACCTTATTACATAGCACATACAGAGCTGTATAAAAACTTCTAGTGGGATGTGTTATATTCCCTGGGTTTGGCTGTGGTTTCATGATTTTTCTGCTGTATTATCTTTATTACATTATATATGGTAACAGTATATACAGCTTCCCTGTGAGCACGTGGGAAGCTATTCAAATCAGAAGATAATGAATGATAATTTACATCTGCTGAAACTTGGGCTGAAAGCCTGAAAAAGTCCAGTTAAGACATTTTAATTTGGATAACATCACCTTTCCTGGGTGGTGCGAGATCAATATCAAAGATACCCCAATCACAAACCTGCATCCAAGCACGGTGTCAGGACATCACATAGCATGCCTTGTAATCTTATGCTCTATCTCTCCTTATGCTCTGCTGTGGTAAATGAATGTCAGTTTCCCTTTGATATCTTGCAGCTTACAGCCAAGAATCTGCTGACACCTTAGCATGCCGGCAGAGCCATGGCTCCTGCTCTTTTGTTGCATGCCCTGCTCCTTCCGTTGACATTGGAACCTGCCGTGATGGGAAGCTGAAATGCTGCAGATGGTAAGGGAGTTCCTCCTGAGAAACCCAGGGGCATCAACATAGCATAACTAGCAGCAAGTCAGAACTCATACCTGGAATGCAGTTCTCCACCTGGGCTGTTCTATTAGGTGCAGAGTGCCAAATGTCAGAGCAAAGTGCTGTAGGAGATCTTCCACTCTCTGCAAGTAAAATGTGTTTTCATCAGCACCTTGAGAAAACCTCTGTATCTATAGGAGATATATCATGTGGAGCAATGCTGTACTATGCTGTGGTCCAGTTATGCAGCTAATTACATGAGCTGTAGCATATCTACCCTTTTTTGGACATCATAAATTAGTTGTTCTTGTTTTGCTTCTTTATTTATTTTTACTTATTTGCATTCATATTTAATTGAAGTGGGTTTCTGTGAAACACTATGCTGGAGGATTAAAAAAATAAATAAAATAGAATAATGTGAAGCCTTGCCAGAGCCCTGGCACAGGGAGCAGGGAGCAATAGTGGCTCCTCTTGGGGATCTCCCATAGCCCCTGGTCATTGTGCTGGGCACCCTGCTCCAGACAGCCCTGCTGAGGTTTGGGGGGACCAAAGGGACTCAGAAGTGCATCCAATCTCAATCATTCTGTGATTCAGTGAATATAGATCAGAGGCCCAGATCGCAAGGATCTCCAGTAGTCTTCTACCTCATGTGTCCATCGGGTACCTCAGGTGTCTACACCAGCCTGAGATGGGAACGTATCATTTGCTTGTCTGGATAGAGAAAGGTTGAATAGGTCACCACCTGATTTCTCTTTGCAGGAGACCCAGCTCCTAAATCTGAGACCTCACTGACCATGCGGATAAGAGCCCTGGGAATCTCCTGCCTAATGACATCACAGGATCCTTGAACTTTGATGCAAACCCAAGGAGCCTTTCCCAATGGAGTGAAGAGTCCTGGGAGCACGAGAAGATCTGAGGAGGAATTCTTGTACCTCAGATAGAGATTTGCAGCTTCATTTCTAATAAAAACAATTCTAAGTGAAACCACATTGCTGACACTTGCTGGTGTATGTCAGGGTGGTTTTGTTGTTATTACTGTCTACAAAAATCAACTTGTAAATGATATTTATTTAACTAAAATAATTTACATGCACGTGTCTTTGAGTCCTATTAAATCACCCTTAAAGTGTGTGGGTTGCAGCAATCTGTGTGGCAATACACATGTCAGTACACCAAAAACCACCAACAGTCCAGAGCTCCAGGCTGGAGTTTGGAGTCAGGTCTGTTCTCCTGTCCTCTGCCAACCCAGCATGAAGTGCTGGGAATGTCAACACAGAGAAACCCAGCATGGCAGAAGGTCAAGTTCTTTAGGTCTTGAAAAACCTCACTGAATCTATGAATCTTCTGGTCCCTCTGCCTGTATTTTGTCTAGATCAGCAGGGGGTGTTACTTCCCTGAATGCTGAATAGTAAACTATTAGCCACAACACTGTGCTGTCTTGGATGCATGTCAGTCAGCCTGCAGTCTCCACTGTTAAGAAATGTCCCCTGTTTCGTTCAAATGGTTGCCAGCAAACTTGCAAACGTTTCAAAAAAACAGCAGAAAAATGAGTGAAAGCCCCCAGACACACTCATATGGGATGGGGTGGGATGGGATGGGATGGGATGGGATGGGATGGGATGGGATGGGATGGGATGGGGTGGGGTGGGGTGGGGTGGGATGGGATGAGATGGGGTGGCATGGGATGGGATGGGATGGGATGGGATGGGATGGGATGGGGTGGGGTGGGGTGGGGTGGGATGGGATGAGATGGGGTGGGATGGGGTGGGATGGGGTGGGATGGGGTGGGATGGGATGGGATGAGATGGGGTGGGATGGGATGGGATGGGGTGGGATGGGATGGGGTGGGGTGGAGTGGGATGGGATGAGATGGGGTGGCATGGGATGGGATGGGATGGGATGGGATGGGATGGGATGGGGTGGGATGGGGTGGGGTGGGGTGGGATGGGATGAGATGGGGTGGGATGGGATGGGATGGGATGGGATGGGGTGGGATGGGGTGGGATGGGGTGGGGTGGGGTGGGATGGGATGGGATGAGATGGGGTGGGATGGGATGGGATGGGGTGGGATGGGATGGGGTGGGGTGGGGTGGGGTGGGATGGGATGGGATGAGATGGGGTGGGATGGGATGGGATGGGATGGGGTGGGATGGGATGGGATGGGGTGGGGTGGGGTGGGATGGGATGGGATGAGATGGGGTGGGATGGGATGGGATGGGGTGGGATGGGATGGGATGGGATGGGGTGGGATGGGATGGGGTGGGGTGGGGTGGGGTGGGGTGGGATGGGATGGGGTGGGGTGGGGTGGGATGGGATGGGATGGGATGGGGTGGGATGGGATGGGATGGGATGGGATGGGGTGGGATGGGATGGGATGAGATGGGGTGGGATGGGATGGGATGGGATGGGATGGGATGGGATGGGATGAGATGGGGTGGGATGGGATGGGATGGGATGGGATGGGATGGGATGGGGTGGGATGGGATGGGATGGGGTGGGATGGGATGGGGTGGGGTGGGATGGGATGGGATGGGGTGGGGTGGGATGGGATGGGATGGGGTGGGATGGGATGGGGTGGGGTGGGGTGGGGTGGGATGGGATGAGATGGGGTGGGATGGGATGGGATGGGATGGGATGGGATGGGATGGGATGGGATGGGATGGGATGGATGGGGTGGGATGGGATGGGATGGGATGGGATGGGATGGGATGGGATGGGGTGGGATGGGATGGGATGGGATGGGATGGGATGGGATGGGATGGGATGGGACGGGATGGGATGGGATGGGATGGGGTGAGATAGCACGGCATGGTACTGGCTAGCATGGCATAGGATGGGATGGCAGGGATGGCATGGCATGGTGTCCCATGTGCTTAGCACACCACAGGGCTAATGCAAAGAACAAAAGGATCTCAGATGAGCAATGGATAAAGTACCCACACTGCCCACCCCATGAGCTGCTATGAACTGGTTTTGGAGTGCCATGGTCCGTGCACATAATCCCTTTGTGCCAGCCTTCTGCTAACCCACTCACAGGGGTTTGTACAAGTTGTTGTTGGCCATTGCTAACTGATGTAATAAGATGTAATAAATGTTCATATTCCTGTCTGTATATAAGTTTGGATTTTTTTATCATGTCACACTACCCCTGGGTGAGATGGAAGCCAGGACTTCCAGCAAAAACACAAACCAAGGCAATTCCTTGCAGGTATCAGGAGCAGACACAAGTTTTCTGGAGAACACTTATTAAAATAAGGACATGGTTTAGTAGGAGCTATTGGGAATAGGTGAACGGTTGGACTGGGTGATCTTTTAGGTCTTTTCCAACCCTGGTGATTCTATGATTCTATGATTCTATGAAATGTGTAGAGATACATGGTCTACAAAATATGAAAACTTCAGTTGTGCATTCAGCCTCTCCTAGAGATTCTGTCTTTCAGTGTTAATTCTATTACTGTTAATTCTAAGCAGAAAACAAAAATGCAAGCATCTGATCTGAAGGCCAAAGCAAGAATCTGCTCTGCATCTTCTCACAGGGATGCAGTGTGATTTTGCTAAAAACTATTTTATTTTAGAAAAGAAAAGGAACATTAGTCTTCACTGGGTGATTCAGTGACCACTGTCAGAGACTCTTCAGGTCAATTTGCAGAGATTTGCAGAGGTGCCACTTTTCTTTCCTCTTCTGTTCAGCCTTTGGTGCATGCACGTGTGCATGTTAAACCCATATTTTCAGCCCCACGTTCCAGGTTTTGTAGCAGGATGATGAATCTCTTCCATCACCAGAAGAGCTGCTTAGCTGGTCTGAGGTCGTGGCAAACATTAGTTGTACTGCAAGAGGGAATCACAGAAGCACCAAAATTGTAAAAAGCCTCCAAGATCATCCAGTCCAACCATCCGCATACCACCAATGTCAGCCCACTGGACCACATCCCTTTGCAAAACATGGAAATGTTTCTTGAACACCCCCAGGGATGCTGACTCCATCACCACCCTTCCAGCATCCAGCCGCTCTCCAGAGAGAAAGAAGGGGAAATAAACTTTCAGACTGTGCTCTTATAACCATGAATGAATAAATACTTAATCATGAAATGCCTGGAAGCTTCTGTACCCGAAGCTTCCTCCACTTCTTGAAGTCTCTGATATAAAGATAGAGAATCTCTTTATATGAATCTACTGCTTAGTCTGTTTTGTTCTGTTCTGCTTTTTAATACCTCTCCTATTACTATTGAGCATAGTTTAAATGAGAAGTTTCAAAACCAAGATGAGCTGCAAACATCATACAGCAAGATGAAACTGAACATTACGTATCAGAAACAGTGGAAGCAGAGCACATATTTTCATGGATTTTTTCTGTTGGATTTCTCCCCCTTAATTTTGCGTTGCAATAAACATACGGGTGAACCTTTGAAGTCTGTTGGAAACCCTCTGAGTGTACTGGCTGAGGTATATAACAAACCCATTCCCCATCAGACAGCTGATGCTTGAACAAGCGTAGCTCACCACAGTCCGGCAGCACGGCACCGCTTGCTGGCAGCGCCCAAAGGCTCTGGTGTGGAGGTGGAAGCAGTGTTCCTTGGAGCAGATCCCTCCTGCCTGCTCACACTGTGCCTCGTTGTTAGGTACACGCATGAAACCTGTGCAGAGATGGTGACTTTTCATCTTCCTTCCCAAAGAAGACCAAGTACGTGCAAGGGTTGTAGTGTGGCAGCAGTATTCCTGTATTCTGCATCATTACATTACATTCTCTCAGTTTCCAGTGCAAGAAGGCCAGCAGTCATACCCTGTGTGCCAAACTACTACAGCAGCAGCCAAGATGGAAGCCCTTTCCATGTCTATTTTACTGTGTTTGTACTCACAGAATTCCCTTGGTGTTTCCTTTGGCTTTATGGAGCTCTTACCTAAAGAACTTTGGAGCACAGTAAGGAGAACGGCCAAGAAAAGGTAAAGGATCTTCATGTCCCAGTTCAGAGTCACAAAACACAGCAGCCACTAGGGGGGAAAAAATGCCACAGAAAATAATCCTGCACTTATTCTGCATGGACTATTGACCCCAAGCATCATGTATGACTTTCAACCTACAGTTTGCAAATTGAAGTTAACATTTATGCAGGAGAGTAAATTTTCTAGAAACTGTCCATTAAAATAACACTTTTTAAAGGAGGCACATTTCATATGATCAAGAAAATGTGATCAGGTGAAAACACATTTATTTGATCATATGAAATGTGCTTTTTATCTATAAAATTCAAAAGAATGGGGAGACATTGCTCTTCTCTCCATCACATGCAAAAACAGCCTGTATCAGCTGCCCTGAGAACTCCTACATTTGAACCTGATGGACTTCCTATATTTTATTTATATTTTTAAATTATAACAAAATTAAATAAATATAAGAGTAAAATAAAAATGTATCAATATCCTTCAAACTGTACCCAGTTCTTATAATTTAAGCGTTTTTCTCCTAGGTCTCTTTTATAACTAATAGGCAAAACTTCCATGAGCACAAAAACAACAGCTCTTCCATTTAGAATTTTATCTTTTTTTTTTTCTTTTTTTTTCCCTTCTTTTTCTTGTGAGCAGCTGCAGAGGATGTGATTGTATGATCTGGCATGCTGTTTGTGGCATGCTGATGAAAGATTAAAATGCCCATCCTATTTAACTCTTACCTATTTTGTTTCAGATATATGTAGATGGTGACATAAACTAAAATAAGGAATGCTCAAAAGCATGAATTATTCAAGAAATATTAATTTTTTGTTGTTTATAAAGTGATATAAAGTCCCTAATAATATTTCTAATAAAAGCTAAGGGATCCTCCTTCCCTTCTCACCGCAGCACATCTGTGACAAATAGCAAACAGCCATAAAGCATCTCGCACCATCAGTTCATTGTGCAGACCCCAATTACATTTTGCAGATAAAATGATTATAACCACCCAGAGTCACCATTACTGAGTACAGTGATCGAATGCCAAGCAGTACCTGTTTTCTTGTTTGTAAGATTTTAATTGAGCAGCAGAAGTAGAAGTCTTGGAATGATGGATTTTATTTCAAATGATAGCTGTGACTTACCACTGATGATGGGCAGTCCTCAGCAAACTTCTCACCACGAGGTTCCTTCACCTTCTCTTTGCCATCCGTGTCCTCTCTGCAAATGACAGGAAGGGAGGACAGACCTTTGGTAACATTACTCAACTCCTGTCCCCATGGCACGTCCACAATTAGCAAGAACAGCATGAAATCCAGCTGGGAAAACGTCCTGGCCTTGGCCTGTCCCATGGAAACATGCCCAGACCCAGCTTGGCCAATCCCTGCCTGGAAATCACATCTCCTGCCCAGTATTTTCAATCAATTTTCTGCAATGGAACAGCACACTCACACGCAGGGACCCCCAGAGCACCATTCAGGGAGGATGGAAGGCATCTGAGCCGCCTTTGTCTTCAGCCCATCCAAGTAATTATGAAGCTGAAACCTGGTCATGAAGAAAACATTCCCAGTACAGAGATTTCTGAAAGTCATCCATGAGAGTCCTGCAGAGGGGAACAACCTGTTCGAGTCCTGCTCCTCATCCAAAGGCAGCAACATTGCATTTTCTATTTCCTACTTGCTTAAGTCCCTAGTAATCACTAAAAATGCTCTCTCTGTCCACATTTCTCTCAGCCTATGACAACTGATGTTTCCATTTATTCGCTTTTATACAACTTGAAGCTTGTATCATAGCCAAGGTTGTTCTCAAGGGCAAATATGGTACTCCAGGCCATCTCAAAAGTTTTAGGTTTCCCCATCCATCTTCGGTCTCTGGGGGTTTTAATCAGTTTTACTCAAATGGACCAATACTTGCAGGGGCTGGAGAAGGACTTCTTATAAAGGCATGTAGTGACAGAATGAGGGAAAATGACTTTAAACTGAAAGAGAGTAGATTTAGACTAGATATCAGGAAGAAATTATTTCATGTGAGCGTGGTGAGTCACCGAACAGGTTGCCCTGTGAGGCTTGGGATGCCCCTCCATGGAAGCACTCAAGGCCAGGCTGGATGGGGCTGTGAGCAACCTGCCCTAGAGGGAGGTGCCTGTGCCTATGGCAGGGGTTGGAAGTAGGTGATCTTAAAGATCCCTTCCAACACAAACCATTCTATGATTCTGTGACAACCTGGGAAATAAATGGGAGTTTGGCAGGTGTGCAGTTTATCCAGGTTGGAAGGGTCTGGGCAACCTGGGAAGGACCAAATGAATGCTAATATCAGAAAGGGCACTGAAACAACAGAAAAAAAAATATTCAGGAGTACCCATAAGAGGAAAATGAGATGAAAATGTATTGCCTTCGAAAATTTTGCATGAAAGATTGCATGTGTCCATGTTATTATTTCATACACTGCTATGCACAAAATTAACGACAGCAAATTAAGTAACTGAAAGGCAAGCAATGCTCTAAGCATCAGCAGTGCCCTAAGCAGCAGTCTGTGCCTGTTTCCAGGTATTTCACATAGCCCTGTGGCCTAACGTCTCTCGCAGGAAGCGGAATGCTCTGAGAGGGATTGCACCAAGACCTGGGGATTTGTGGTCAAGCCGTCCAAAGTGCAGCCTCATTGGAAGGCAGCAAAATGCAGCACCAATTGGGAAGCAAAAGCCCTCTTTCATTGGCCAGTGGCTGCTCTGCCAGAGCCCTCAATCTTCACATAAAGAGGAGTGTTTGGGGCTGGGGATCCTGCCGGAGAAGAGAGACAGAAGGCGGCGGTGCTCCTCCTCCTCCTCAGTGGGTAATCCCTCCTGTGGCTGCTTCTGGACAGGTGCCCTCTGCTCCTTGCCTTTATCCACTTCTTTGCTTTCATTGCGATTCAGTCCATGGGCACTGGGAGACACCGAGCTCTTTGCAGCCTGGAACTGCCCAGCCGCCTACAGAGGCTGCCATCTGCACAGCACTCAGTGCTCCAACCTGCCTTTTTCCTCCACAGCTGACCAGAATTCCAATTCCCTTATGGTTGAGGTCAGGCTTTCACTGCTGCTCAAGAGACAGTGGTGTCCTTCTCCAACTTGGAGAACAGTGACACTTGTCTTGGTCTCTGAATGCCACGGCAGGCTGAAGGTGAATGGTTCAGCAGTCGGTGATGCTTTTAAAGTAACACATGCTGTGCCATACGGAAGCAGAACTAAAATTCTCAATGCAAGAAGACCAATATTCATAAAATCAAAGACAGGATTTTGTTGCAATAGGGGAGGAAAGGGACTGTGAGAGCTTCTAGTCTCAGAAGTCTTGCAAACTCAAAGAAGAGGAGATGGTAGGCGTGCTTGTTTCAAGATATATTTATGGACTATTTGAATATTTGCAGTTTCTTTTCAGTTCACTGTACTGTATAAGATTTTGGTGGGGGCCATTTGGGGCACACTATAAGCTGTTGCTCATCTCTCAGTGAGGGATTAACCATTCCATGTCCTTTTGTGTTGTTGTGTCAGTTCCTTGCAGATCAGCATTTCGCATCCCGGCCGTGGCCATGAGGATCCTTTACCTGCTGCTGGCTGTGCTCTTTGTGGTGCTGCAGGGCGTTGCAGGTGAGATGTGACTTGGACAGGCTGGACAGTGAGCTGCCAGGAAGCCCGTGCAATTCAGCAAGGGGAAGAGCTGAGTCCTGCAGCTGGGGAGGAACAACCCCAGCACCACGACGTTCTGTGGACAGCCAGCTTTAGAGAATGTGCATCAACTTTTGCTCAGTTCCACAGAAAATGATTTTTCTTTTTTTCACTGTTCAGGTCAGCGCTACTTTCCTCAGCCTTTTGATACTTGTAGGCTTCGAAATGGAATCTGCACTCGAGGAATCTGTCGGAGGCCATATTACTGGATTGGAACCTGTAACAATGGAATAGGCTCTTGCTGTGCAAGGTATGTGGAAGTGCAAAGCATTCTTATGGCTATGTGTCACCATGGGTCGCTTTTCCAATGACAGCCCTGCTGGAACAGAGGGTCCTCAGGGGTTGTTCACATCCCATGGCAGGATCCGTTATGGTGCCATGAAATACAGCAGATAAACAATCCCAAATGAATGGCACCACAGACAAACTGCTTGGGGGGCAAGCTAAAACTGTCTGCTTTTCATCATACAGGGGCTGGAGGAACTGATGACTCCCTGACTTCTCCTGGGAAATCCTTCCTGCATCTACCAAATGCCATCTCTGCACTCCAGCCCCATCACACCTGCTGGCAACACATCCTCCTGCAAAAACACACAAAAAAAAAACCAAAAAAAAGCAAGGGAATGGCTTTTAATACTTCCCTATGCTCTGAAGCAAATACTATCACCTGTGAAATCATAAATCTGAACCAGGCAGCATCCCCAAAAAGGCTTCTTTTCTCGCTTCAATACAATAAAATGACTAACACTGGCATTTCTCTGCTTGAACTTTGGCTATGTTTGTTGGGGAAGATGGGGATTTTTCCTTCATCTCCTTGCACCACAGGCAGTAACACGCAGGTGGGCTGGTGGCTTGTAGAGATGAGCATTCTGCAGAAATATAGGCTGAGACATTTCTGCAGAAATACAGGCTCTCTACAATTCCCTGGTGGGAGGTTGCTGCGAGGTGCACGTTGGTCTCCTCTCAGGTGACAAGTGATAGGACACAAGGAAATGGTGTCCAGATGTGCCAGGGGAGGTTCAGAAAGGATGTCAGGAAGAATATTTTCATGGAAATAGCCTTTTGGTGATGGAAGAGGCTCTGCAGGGAAGTGGTGCATTCGCCCTGCCTGTAGGTATTTAACTGACCGAGGGAGGTGTCCCTAAAGGACGTGGTGTAGCGGTGGCCTTGGCAGTGTTAGGTGAGCGATGATCTCAACAGCAAACTTCTCACCACGAGGTTCCTTCACCTTCTCCTTGCCATCCTCTTCTCCCCGTGTCCTCCCTGCAAATGACGGGAAGGAAGGAGTGACCTTTGGTGACATTACTCAACACTTGTCCTCAGGGCACATCCACAATTAGCAGGAACAGCATGAAATCCAACTGGGGAAATGTCCGGCTGTCAATGCAGTCATTGGGCACTTCTGCCTCATTCCAACATTGCCAGGGCAATAAATATCCCCGGTAGGTCTCAAAGAATCAGGGACCAGGTAGCGACATCCTTTTGCTCCGGTGGTACAGTTGACAAAGCAGAGCAAAAGGGATGGCATCCAGAGGGAACTGGACAGGCTACTGAGGAGGGCCCATGCCAGCCTCAGGAAGTTCAGCAGCACCAAGTGAAAAGTCCTGCACCTGGGTTGGGGCAATCCCGAGCACAGATACAGGCTGGGCAGGGAATGACTTGAGAGCAGCCCTGAGGAGAAGGGTTTGGGAGCGCCGACTGATGAGGGATTCAACATGAGACAGCCATGTGTGCGTGCAGACCAGAAGGTCAACCGTACCCCGGGTTGCATCAAGAGAAGTGTGACCAGCAGGGAGAGGGAGGTGATTCTGCCCCTCTACTCTGCTCTGTGAGGCCCCAAATAGAGTACGGTATCGTGTTGTGAGGCCTACAACACCAGAAGGACATGGAGCTGTTGGAGCAGTGCAGAGGAGGGCCACAGAGATGATCGGAGACCTGGAGTGTCTCCCCAGCCAGGACAGGCAGAAAGAGATCTTCTCATCCTGCAGAACAGAAGGCTCCAGAGGACCTTATAGGGACCCCCCAGTACCTGCAGGGGGCCTACAGGAACACTCTGCAGGGACCTTTTGTAGGGGCAGGTATTGACAGATCAAAGAGTAATAGTTTCAAACTGGAAAAGGGCAGATTTAGTCTAGGTATCAGCAAGAAAATGTTTACTCTATGGACAGTGAGGTACTGGAACAGGTTGCCCAGCAAGGTTTTGAATGGCCATTCCTTGGAAGCATTCTAGGCCTGCCTGGATGGGAATGTGAGCCACCTGGGCTACAGAGAGGTGTCCCTGTCTAAAGCAGGGTGTTGAAACTGGATGATCTCAAAGGTATCTTCCATGTATTGCCGTTCGATGATTCTTTGATTCTCTGATAATCAGGGAAAGAAATAGGAGGTTGGCATGTGTGCTGGACTAAGCGAATGCTCATATCAGAAAGGGCACCTAAAAAACAAAAGAAGAAAAATCAAGAGTAAACCTAAGAGGAAGAAGGGATTAAAATCTATCTTCTTATAAAATTTTGCATGAAAGATTGCATGTGTCTTTGTTATTATTTCATACACTGCTATGCACGATATTAACGACAGCATAATTAAGAAGCTGAAAGTCAAGCAATGTTCATTCTTCTCTTGACAAGGAGAAGAAACACGAAGGATGATAGTAAAGGCCAAAGCATTATGCAGGCCAATGATAGCCAAGATGCTGTTGCAGCCCTGAGAGTAAAACTTCATCCTGAAGGCAGAAGTGGGACCTGAGCAGCAGTCTGTGCCTGTTTCCAGGTATTTCACATAGCCCTGTGGCCTAACGTCTCTCGCAGGAAGCGGAATGCTCTGAGAGGGATTGCACCAAGACCTGGGGATTTGTGGTCAAGCCGTCCAAAGTGCAGCCTCATTGGAAGGCAGCAAAATGCAGCACCAGTTGGGAAGCAAAAGCCCTCTTTCATTGGCCAGTGGCTGCTCTGCCAGAGCCCTCAATCTTCACATAAAGAGGAGTGTTTGGGGCTGGGGATCCTGCCGGAGAAGAGAGACAGAAGGCGGCGGTGCTCCTCCTCCTCCTCAGTGGGTAATCCCTCCTGTGGCTGCTTCTGGACAGGTGCCCTCTGCTCCTTGCCTTTATCCACTTCTTTGCTTTCATTGCGATTCAGTCCATGGGCACTGGGAGACACCGAGCTCTTTGCAGCCTGGAACTGCCCAGCCGCCTACAGAGGCTGCCATCTGCACAGCACTCAGTGCTCCAACCTGCCTTTCTTCCTCCACAGCTGACCAGAATTCCAATTCCCTTATGGTTGAGGTCAGGCTTTCACTGCTGCTCAAGAGACAGTGGTGTCCTTCTCCAACTTGGAGAACAGTGACACTTGTCTTGGTCTCTGAATGCCACGGCAGGCTGAAGGTGAATGGTTCAGCAGTTGGTGTTGGTTTCAGAGTAGCATGTCATGTACCATATGGAAGCTGAATGAAAATTCTCAATGCAAGACCAATATTCATAAAATCAAAGATAGAATTTTGGAACAATAGGGGATGAAAGGGACTTTAAGAGCTTCTAGTCTCAGAAGTCTTGCAAACTCAAAGAAGAGGAGATGGTAGGCGTGCTTGCCTCAAGATACATCAGTCATTTGAACACCTGAAAGTTTATTTGTGTTCACTGTACTGTATAAGATTTTGGTGGGGGCCATTTGGGGCACACTATAAGCTGTTGCTCATCTCTCAGTCAGCAGAAAAGCATTCCACGTCCTTTTGTGTTGTTGTGTCAGTTCCTTGCAGATCAGCATTTCGCATCCCGGCCGTGGCCATGAGGATCCTTTACCTGCTGCTGGCTGTGCTCTTTGTGGTGCTGCAGAGCGTTGCAGGTGAGATGTGACTTGGACAGGCTGGACAGTGAGCTGCCAGGAAGCCCGTGCAATTCAGCAAGGGGAAGTGCTGAGTCCTGCAGCTGGGGAGGAACAACCCCAGCACCAGGAAGTGCTGCGGGCACCAGCGGGAAGCGGCTCTGCTCTGCAGGAAAGGAGCTGGGGGTCCTGGTGGGCACCAAATGGGGCATGAGTGAGCAATGAGCCCTCAGTGCTAAGAGAGCAAGTGGTAATCTTGGCTGCAGTGGGCAAAGCCTCAGCAGCAAACAGCAGAGCTGTTCCTTTCCTTGTATTCAAGTGTGGAGAGCCCAGCACAGGGCCTCCAAGGTGCAGCAGGGCCTGCAGCAGCGGTGCTGGGTAAAGAGGCTGTGAGAGCTGGGGCTGCTCAGTTCAGAGCAGGGGCAGCTCAGGGGTACGGCACGACCACAAATCCTACAGGAGGTGCACGGGGATGGGGCTGTGCTCCATGGAGCCCGGGGCAGTGCAGGGACACAGGACACAGCCTGGAGCCCAGGAGCTGCCATCAGCAGCAGCGCTGTGCTGGGCAGAGCGGGAGGCCTGGGCCAGGGAGCAGAGAGCGGTGGGGGTCCTTGTGATCTGATTAGGGGAGAGGAACTGGAGAGCATAGAGAATGTGCATCCACTTCTGCTCACTTGCTCTGTCAATTCCTTTTTTTTTTTCCTACTGTGCAGCTGAGCCATCCTTCTCTAGCCCCATGCATGCTTGTAGATTTCTAAGGGGAGTCTGCTTTCCTGGGCAATGTCAGCGGCCATATTACCGGGTTGGATCATGTGGTGGAACACGCTCTTGCTGTATAAGGTACGTGGAAGTGCAAGGCATCCCCAAGCAATGGCTGACAGCTGTGAGGCACAGCAGATGACAGCACCGTGTGTCACTTCTCCAATGACAGCCCTGCTGGAACAGAGGGTTCCCAGGGGTTGTTCATGTCCCATGCCATCCTCCATTGTGGTGCCATGAAATACAGCAGACAGACCCTGACCCAAATGAATTACACCACAGGATACCTGCTGGTGGGCAAGGAAAGGCTCTCTATTGTTATCATGCAGGGGCAGGTGGACCTGATGATTCCCTGGCTTCTCCTGGGAAATCCTTCCTGCATCTACCAAATGCCATCTCTGCACTCCAGCCCCATCACACCTGCTGGCACCAAACCCTGCTGCAAAAAAAGAAAGAAAAAGAAAAAAAAGGCATTCATTACTTCCCTCGCTTTGAAGCAGATATCAGCACTGTGAAATCATAAATATTTCTTCCTTGCTTCAATAAAATGTCTACACTGGCATTTCTGTGATAGAACCTTGGCTGTGTTTGTTGGGGAAGAAGGGGATTTTTCCTTGATCTCCTTGCACCACAGGCAGCAACATACAGGTGACTTGTGGAGATGAACATTCTGCAGAAATGCAGGCTGAGGCTTTATGACTCTGTATTACTGCCTGATGGGAGCTGCTGGAGGGAGGTGTCCCTAAGGGATGTGGTGTAGCGGTGGCCTTGGCAGTGTTAGGTGAGCGATGATCTTGAAGATCTCAACAGCAAACTTCTCACCACGAGGTTCCTTCACCTTCTCCTTGCCATCCTCTTCTCCCTGTGTCCTCCCTGCAAATTCCGGGAAGGAAGGAGTGACCTTTGGTGACATTACTCAACACTTGTCCTCAGGGCGCGTCCACAATTAGCAGGAACAGCATGAAATCCAACTGGGGAAATGTCCGGCTGACAATGCAGTCATTGGGCACTTCTGCCTCATTCCAACATTGCCAGGGCAATAAATATCCCGTGTAGGTCTCAAAGAATCAGGGACCAGGTAGCGACATCCTTTTGCTCCGGTGGTACAGTTGACAAAGCAGAGCAAAAGGGATGGCATCCAGAGGGAACTGGACAGGCTACTGAGGAGGGCCCATGCCAGCCTCAGGAAGTTCAGCAGCACCAAGTGAAAAGTCCTGCACCTGGGTTGGGGCAATCCTGAGCACAGATACAGGCTGGGCAGGGAATGACTTGAGAGCAGCCCTGAGGAGAAGGGTTTGGGAGCGCCGACTGATGAAGGATTCAACATGAGACAGCCATGTGTGCGTGCAGACCAGAAGGCCAACCGTAGCCCGGGTTGCATCAAGAGAAGTGTGACCAGCAGGGCGAGGGAGGTGATTCTGCCCCTCTACTCTGCTCTGTGAGGTCCCAAATAGAGTACGGTATCGTGTTGTGAGGCCTACAACACCAGAAGGACAGGGAACTGTTGGAGCAGGTGCAGAGGAGGGCCACAGAGATGATCAGAGGGCTGGAGCACCTCTCCTATTGAACAGGATGAGAGAGCTGGGGATCTTCAGCCTGGAGAAGAGAAGAATCCAAGGGGCCTCATGGGGGCATTCCTGTACATACTGGGGGCCTACAGGAATGCTGGGGAGGGACTTCTTGTAAAGGCATGTAGTGTGAGGACGAGGGAAAATGACTTTAAACTGAAAGAGAGTAGATTTAGACTGGATATCGATGATTCTGGAGCAACCTGGGACATAAATGGGAGGTTGGCAGGTGTGCAGCTTATCCTGAGTCTGCACAACCTGGGAAGGTCCAAGTGAATGGTGATATCAGAAAGGGCACTGAAACAACAGAAAAAAAAATAATCATGGAAAAAAAATAATCAGGAGTACCCCTAAGAGGAAAAAGAGATGAAAATGTATTTTCTTCTAAAATTTTGCATGAAAGACTGCGTGAGTCCATGTTATTATTTCATACACTGCTAAGCACTAATTTAATGACAGTATAATTAAGAAGCTGAAAGGCAAGCAATCACAGAATCACAGAGTCACAGAATCACAGAATCATAGGGGTTGGATCGTAGGGTAGGTCACTATGGACCTCAGTGGGGTCATGATGGAGCTGTTATGGTGTCCCTATAAAGCTCTATGGAGTCATACTCATTCTTCTCTTGACATGGAGAAAAGACTACACGAAGGATGGCAGTAAATGCCAAAGCATTATGCAGGCCAATGATAGCCAAGATGCTGTTGCAGCCCTGAGAGTAAAACTTCATCCTGAAGGCAGAAGTGGGACCTGAGCAGCAGTCTGTGCCTGTTTCCAGGTATTTCACATAGCCCTGTGGCCTAACGTCTCTCGCAGGAAGCGGAATGCTCTGAGAGGGATTGCACCAAGACCTGGGGATTTGTGGTCAAGCCGTCCAAAGTGCAGCCTCATTGGAAGGCAGCAAAATGCAGCACCAATTGGGAAGCCAAAGCCCTCTTTCATTGGCCAGTGGCTGCTCTGCCAGAGCCCTCAATCTTCACATAAAGAGGAGTGTTTGGGGCTGGGGATCCTGCCGGAGAAGAGAGACAGAAGGCGGCGGTGCTCCTCCTCCTCCTCAGTGGGTAATCCCTCCTGTGGCTGCTTCTGGACAGGTGCCCTCTGCTCCTTGCCTTTATCCACTTCTTTGCTTTCATTGCGATTCAGTCCATGGGCACTGGGAGACACCGAGCTCTTTGCAGCCTGGAACTGCCCAGCCGCCTACAGAGGCTGCCATCTGCACAGCACTCAGTGCTCCAACCTGCCTTTTTCCTCCACAGCTGACCAGAATTCCAATTCCCTTATGGTTGAGGTCAGGCTTTCACTGCTGCTCAAGAGACAGTGGTGTCCTTCTCCAACTTGGAGAACAGTGACACTTGTCTTGGTCTCTGAATGCCACGGCAGGCTGAAGGTGAATGGTTCAGCAGTTGGTGTTGGTTTCAGAGTAGCATGTCATGTACCATATGGAAGCTGAATGAAAACTCTCAATGGAAAGGGGCCGATACTCAAAAAATCAGTCAAAGACAGGATTTTGGTGCAATAGGGGAGGAAAGAGACTGTAAGAGCTTCTAGTCTCAGAAGTCTTGCAAACTCAAAGAAGAGGAGATGGTAGGCGTGCTTGCCTCAAGATATATTTATGGACTATTTGAATATTTGCAGTTTCTTTTCAGTTCACTGTACTGTATAAGATTTTGGTGGGGGCCATTTGGGGCACACTATAAGCTGTAGCTCATCCCTAAGTGAGGGATTAAACATTCCATGACCTTTTGTGTTGTTGTGTCAGTTCCTTGCAGATCAGCATTTCGCATCTCGGCCGTGGCCATGAGGATCCTTTACCTGCTGCTGGCTGTGCTCTTTGTGGTGCTGCAGGGCGTTGCAGGTGAGATGTGACTTGGACAGGCTGGACAGTGAGCTGCCAGGAAGCCCGTGCAATTCAGCAAGGGGAAGTGCTGAGTCCTGCAGCTGGGGAGGAACAACCCCAGCACCACGAAGTTCTGTGGACAGCCAGCTTTAGAGAATGTGCATCAACTTTTGCTCAGTTCCACAGAAAATGATTTTTCTTTTTTTCACTGTTCAGGTCAGCGCTACTTTCCTCAGCCTTTTGATACTTGTAGGCTTCGAAATGGAATCTGCACTCGAGGAATCTGTCGGAGGCCATATTACTGGATTGGAACCTGTAACAATGGAATAGGCTCTTGCTGTGCAAGGTATGTGGAAGTGCAAAGCATTCTTATGGCTATGTGTCACAGCTACCGATGTCACCATGGGTCGCTTTTCCAATGACAGCCCTGCTGGAACAGAGGGTCCTCAGGGGTTGTTCACATCCCATGGCAGGATCCGTTACGGTGCCATGAAATACAGCAGATAAACAATCCCAAATGAATGGCACCACAGACAAACTGCTTGGGGGGCAAGCTAAAACTGTCTGCTTTTCATCATACAGGGGCTGGAGGAACTGATGACTCCCTGACTTCTCCTGGGAAATCCTTCCTGCATCTACCAAATGCCATCTCTGCACTCCAGCCCCATCACACCTGCTGGCAACACATCCTCCTGCAAAAACACACAAAAAAAAAACCAAAAAAAAGCAAGGGAATGGCTTTTAATACTTCCCTATGCTCTGAAGCAAATACTATCACCTGTGAAATCATAAATCTGAACCAGGCAGCATCTCCAAAAAGGCTTCTTTTCTCGCTTCAATACAATAAAATGACTAACACTGGCATTTCTCTGCTTGAACTTTGGCTATGTTTGTTGGGGAAGATGGGGATTTTTCCTTCATCTCCTTGCACCACAGGCAGTAACACGCAGGTGGGCTGGTGGCTTGTAGAGATGAGCATTCTGCAGAAATATAGGCTGAGACATTTCTGCAGAAATACAGGCTCTCTACAATTGCCTGGTGGGAGGTTGCTGCGAGGTGCACGTTGGTCTCCTCTCAGGTGACAAGTGATAGGACACAAGGAAATGGTGTCCAGATGTGCCAGGGGAGGTTCAGAAAGGATGTCAGGAAGAATATTTTCATGGAAATAGCCTTTTGGTGATGGAAGAGGCTCTGCAGGGAAGTGGTGCATTCGCCCTGCCTGTAGGTATTTAACTGACCGAGGGAGGTGTCCCTAAGGGACGTGGTGTAGCGGTGGCCTTGGCAGTGTTAGGTGAGCGATGATCTTGAAGATCTCAACAGCAAACTTCTCACCACGAGGTTCCTTCACCTTCTCCTTGCCATCCTCTTCTCCCTGTGTCCTCCCTGCAAATGACGGGAAGGAAGGAGTGACCTTTGGTGACATTACTCAACACTTGTCCTCAGGGCGCGTCCACAATTAGCAGGAACAGCATGAAATCCAACTGGGGAAATGTCCGGCTGACAATGCAGTCATTGGGCACTTCTGCCTCATTCCAACATTGCCAGGGCAATAAATATCCCCGGTAGGTCTCAAAGAATCAGGGACCAGGTAGCGACATCCTTTTGCTCCGGTGGTACAGTTGACAAAGCAGAGCAAAAGGGATGGCATCCAGAGGGAACTGGACAGGCTACTGAGGAGGGCCCATGCCAGCCTCAGGAAGTTCAGCAGCACCAAGTGAAAAGTCCTGCACCTGGGTTGGGGCAATCCCGAGCACAGATACAGGCTGGGCAGGGAATGACTTGAGAGCAGCCCTGAGGAGAAGGGTTTGGGAGCGCCGACTGATGAAGGATTCAACATGAGACAGCCATGTGTGCGTGCAGACCAGAAGGCCAACCGTACCCCGGGTTGCATCAAGAGAAGTGTGACCAGCAGGGAGAGGGAGGTGATTCTGCCCCTCTACTCTGCTCTGTGAGGTCCCAAATAGAGTACGGTATCGTGTTGTGAGGCCTACAACACCAGAAGGACATGGAGCTGTTGGAGCAGGTGCAGAGGAGCGCCACAAAGATGATCGGAGACCTGGAGTGTCTCCCCAGCCAGGACAGGCAGAAAGAGATCTTCTCATCCTGCAGAACAGAAGGCTCCAGAGGACCTTATAGGGACCCCCCAGCACCTGCAGGGGGCCTACAGGAACACTCTGCAGGGACCTTTTGTAGGGGCAGGTATTGACAGATCAAAGAGTAATAGTTTCAAACTGGAAAAGGGCAGATTTAGTCTAGGTATCAGCAAGAAAATGTTTACTCTATGGACAGTGAGGTACTGGAACAGGTTGCCCAGCAAGGTTTTGAATGGCCATTCCTTGGAAGCATTCTAGGCCTGCCTGGATGGGAATGTGAGCCACCTGGGCTACAGAGAGGTGTCCCTGTCTAAAGCAGGGTGTTGAAACTGGATGATCTCAAAGGTATCTTCCATGTATTGCCGTTCGATGATTCTTTGATTCTCTGATAATCAGGGAAAGAAATAGGAGGTTGGCATGTGTGCTGGACTAAGTGAATGCTAATATCAGAAAGGGCACCTAAAAAACAAAAGAAGAAAAATCAAGAGTAAACCTAAGAGGAAGAAGGGATTAAAATCTATCTTCTTATAAAATTTTGCATGAAAGATTGCATGTGTCTATGTTATTATTTCATACACTGCTATGCACGATATTAACGACAGCATAATTAAGAAGCTGAAAGTCAAGCAATGTTCATTCTTCTCTTGACAAGGAGAAGAAACACGAAGGATGATAGTAAAGGCCAAAGCATTATGCAGGCCAATGATGGCCAAGATGCTGTTGCAGCCCCGAGAGTAAAACTTCATCCTGAAGGCAGAAGTGGGACCTGAGCAGCAGTCTGTGCCTGTTTCCAGGTATTTCACATAGCCCTGTGGCCTAACGTCTCTCGCAGGAAGCGGGATGCTCTGAGAGGGATTGCACCAAGACCTGGGGATTTGTGGTCAAGCCGTCCAAAGTGCAGCCTCATTGGAAGGCAGCAAAACGCAGCACCAATTGGGAAGCAAAAGCCCTCTTTCATTGGCCAGTGGCTGCTCTGCCAGAGCCCTCAATCTTCACATAAAGAGGAGTGTTTGGGGCTGGGGATCCTGCCGGAGAAGAGAGACAGAAGGCGACGGTGCTCCTCCTCCTCCTCAGTGGGTAATCCCTCCTGTGGCTGCTTCTGGACAGGTGCCCTCTGCTCCTTGCCTTTATCCACTTCTTTGCTTTCATTGCGATTCAGTCCATGGGCACTGGGAGACACCGAGCTCTTTGCAGCCTGGAACTGCCCAGCCGCCTACAGAGGCTGCCATCTGCACAGCACTCAGTGCTCCAACCTGCCTTTCTTCCTCCACAGCTGACCAGAATTCCAATTCCCTTATGGTTGAGGTCAGGCTTTCACTGCTGCTCAAGAGACAGTGGTGTCCTTCTCCAACTTGGAGAACAGTGACACTTGTCTTGGTCTCTGAATGCCACGGCAGGCTGAAGGTGAATGGTTCAGCAGTCGGTGATGCTTTTAAAGTAACACATGCTGTGCCATACGGAAGCAGAACTAAAATTCTCAATGCAAGAAGACCAATATTCATAAAATCAAAGATAGGATTTTGGTGCAATAGGGGAGGAAAGGGACTGTGAGAGCTTCTAGTCTCAGAAGTCTTGCAAACTCAAAGAAGAGGAGATGGTAGGCGTGCTTGCCTCAAGATATATTTATGGACTATTTGAATATTTGCAGTTTCTTTTCAGTTCACTGTACTGTATAAGATTTTGGTGGGGGCCATTTGGGGCACACTATAAGCTGTTGCTCATCTCTCAGTCAGCAGAAAAGCATTCCACGTCCTTTTGTGTTGTTGTGTCAGTTCCTTGCAGATCAGCATTTCACATCCCGGCCGTGGCCATGAGGATCCTTTACCTGCTGCTGGCTGTGCTCTTTGTGGTGCTGCAGGGCGTTGCAGGTGAGATGTGACTTGGACAGGCTGGACAGTGAGCTGCCAGGAAGCCCGTGCAATTCAGCAAGGGGAAGTGCTGAGTCCTGCAGCTGGGGAGGAACAACCCCAGCACCAGGAAGTGCTGCGGGCACCAGCGGGAAGCGGCTCTGCTCTGCAGGAAAGGAGCTGGGGGTCCTGGTGGGCACCAAATGGGGCATGAGTGATCAATGAGCCCTCAGTGCTAAGAGAGCAAGTGGTAATCTTGGCTGCAGTGGGCAAAGCCTCAGCAGCAAACAGCAGACCTGTTCCTTTCCTTGTATTCAAGTGTGGAGAGCCCAGCACAGGGCCTCCAAGGTGCAGCAGGGCCTGCAGCAGCGGTGCTGGGTAAAGAGGCTGTGAGAGCTGGGGCTGCTCAGTTCAGAGCAGGGGCAGCTCAGGGGTCCGGCACGACCACAAATCCTACAGGAGGTGCAAGGGGATGGGGCTGTGCTCCATGGAGCCCGGGGCAGTGCAGGGACACAGGACACAGCCTGGAGCCCAGGAGCAGCGCTGTGATGGGCAGAGCGGGAGCCCTGGGCCAGGGAGCAGAGAGCGGTGGGGATCCTTGTGATCTGATTAGGGGAGAGGAACTGGAGAGCATAGAGAATGTGCATCCACTTCTGCTCACTTGCTCTGTCAATTCCTTTTTTTTTTTCCCACTGTGCAGGTGAGCCATCCTTCTCTAGCCCCATGCATGCTTGTAGATTTCTAAGGGGAGTCTGCTTTCCTGGGCAATGTCAGCGGCCATATTACCGGGTTGGATCATGTGGTGGAAGAGGCTCTTGCTGTATAAGGTACGTGGAAGTGCAAGGCATCCCCAAGCAATGGCTGACAGCTGAGAGGCACAGCTGATGACAGCACCGTGTGTCACTTCTCCAGTGACAGCCCTGCTGGAACAGAGGGTTCCCAGGGGTTGTTCATGTCCCATGCCAGCCTCCATTGTGGTGCCATGAAATACAGCAGACAGACCCTGACCCAAATGAATTACACCACAGGATACCTGCTGGTGGGCAAGGAAAGGCTCTCTATTGTTATCATGCAGGGGCAGGCGGACCTGATGATTCCCTGGCTTCTCCCGGGAAATCCTTCCTGCATCTACCAAATGCCATCTCTGCACTCCAGCCCCATCACACCTGCTGGCACCAAACCCTGCTGCAAAAAAAGAAAGAAAAAGAAAAAAAAGGCATTCATTACTTCCCTTGCTTTGAAGCAGATATCAGCACTGTGAAATCATAAATATTTCTTCCTTGCTTCAATAAAATGTCTACACTGGCATTTCTGTGATAGAACCTTGGCTGTGTTTGTTGGGGAAGAAGGGGATTTTTCCTTGATCTCCTTGCACCACAGGCAGCAACATACAGGTGACTTGTGGAGATGAACATTCTGCAGAAATGCAGGCTGAGGCTTTATGACTCTGTATTACTGCCTGATGGGAGCTGCTGGAGGGAGGTGTCCCTAAGGGACGTGGTGTAGCGGTGGCCTTGGCAGTGTTAGGTGAGCGATGATCTCAACAGCAAACTTCTCACCACGAGGTTCCTTCACCTTCTCCTTGCCATCCTCTTCTCCCCGTGTCCTCCCTGCAAATGACAGGAAGGAAGGAGTGACCTTTGGTGACATTACTCAACACTTGTCCTCAGGGCGCGTCCACAATTAGCAGGAACAGCATGAAATCCAACTGGGGAAATGTCCGGCTGTCAATGCAGTCATTGGGCACTTCTGCCTCATTCCAACATTGCCAGGGCAATAAATATCCCCGGTAGGTCTCAAAGAATCAGGGACCAGGTAGCGACATCCTTTTGCTCCGGTGGTACAGTTGACAAAGCAGAGCAAAAGGGATGGCATCCAGAGGGAACTGGACAGGCTACTGAGGAGGGCCCATGCCAGCCTCAGGAAGTTCAGCAGCACCAAGTGAAAAGTCCTGCACCTGGGTTGGGGCAATCCCGAGCACAGATACAGGCTGGGCAGGGAATGACTTGAGAGCAGCCCTGAGGAGAAGGGTTTGGGAGCGCCGACTGATGAAGGATTCAACATGAGACAGCCATGTGTGCGTGCAGACCAGAAGGCCAACCGTAGCCTGGGTTGCATCAAGAGAAGTGTGACCAGCAGGGAGAGGGAGGTGATTCTGCCCCTCTACTCTGCTCTGTGAGGTCCCAAATAGAGTACGGTATCGTGTTGTGAGGCCTACAACACCAGAAGGACATGGAGCTGTTGGAGCAGGTGCAGAGGAGCGCCACAGAGATGACCAGAGGGCTGGAGCACCTCCCCAATGGAATAGGCTGAGAGAGCTGGGGATCTTCAGCCTGGAGAAGAGAAGAATCCAAGGGGCCTCATGGGGGCATTCCTGTACATACTGGGGGCCTACAGGAATGCTGGGGAGGGACTTCTTGTAAAGGCATGTAGTGTGAGGACGAGGGAAAATGACTTTAAACTGAAAGAGAGTAGATTTAGACTGGATATCGATGATTCTGGAGCAACCTGGGACATAAATGAGAGCTTGGCAGGTGTGCAGCTTATCCTCTGGGTCTGCACAACCCATGAAGGACCAAGTGAATGCTGACATCAGAAAGGGCACTGAAAGAGGAAAAAAATAATCATGGAAAAAAAATAATCAGGAGTACCCCTAAGAAGAAAAAGAGATAAAAATGTATTTTCCTCTAAAATTTTGCATGAAAGACTGCGTGAGTCCATGTTATTATTTCATACACTGCTAAGCACTAATTTAATGACAGTATAATTAAGAAGCTGAAAGGCAAGCAATCACAGAATCACAGAGTCACAGAATCACAGAATCATAGGGGTTGGATAGTAGGGTAGGTCACTATGGACCTCAGTGGGGTCATGATGGAGCTGTTATGGGGTCCCTATAAAGCTCTATGGAGTCATACTCATTCTTCTCTTGACATGGAGTAAAGACAACACGAAGGATGGCAGTAAATGCCAAAGCATTATGCAGGCCAATGATGGCCAAGATGCTGTTGCAGCCCTGAGAGTAAAACTTCATCCTGAAGGCAGAAGTGGGACCTGAGCAGCAGTCTGTGCCTGTTTCCAGGTATTTCACATAGCCCTGTGGCCTAACGTCTCTCGCAGGAAGCGGAATGCTCTGAGAGGGATTGCACCAAGACCTGGGGATTTGTGGTCAAGCCGTCCAAAGTGCAGCCTCATTGGAAGGCAGCAAAATGCAGCACCAATTGGGAAGCCAAAGCCCTCTTTCATTGGCCAGTGGCTGCTCTGCCAGAGCCCTCAATCTTCACATAAAGAGGAGAGTTTGGGGCTGGGGATCCTGCCGGAGAAGACAGACAGAAGGCGGCGGTGCTCCTCCTCCTCCTCAGTGGGTAATCCCTCCTGTGGCTGCTTCTGGACAGGTGCCCTCTGCTCCTTGCCTTTATCCACTTCTTTGCTTTCATTGTGATTCAGTCCATGGGCACTGGGAGACACCGAGCTCTTTGCAGCCTGGAACTGCCCAGCCGCCTACAGAGGCTGCCATCTGCACAGCACTCAGTGCTCCAACCTGCCTTTCTTCCTCCACAGCAGACCAGAATTCCAATTCCCTTATGGTTGAGGTCAGGCTTTCACTGCTGCTCAAGAGACAGTGGTGTCCTTCTCCAACTTGGAGAACAGTGACACTTGTCTTGGTCTCTGAATGCCACGGCAGGCTGAAGGTGAATGGTTCAGCAGTTGGTGTTGGTTTCAGAGTAGCATGTCATGTACCATATGGAAGCTGAATGAAAACTCTCAATGGAAAGAGGCCGATACTCAAAAAATCAGTCAAAGACAGGATTTTGGTGCAATAGGGGAGGAAAGGGACTGTGAGAGCTTCTAGTCTCAGAAGTCTTGCAAACTCAAAGAAGAGGAGATGGTAGGCGTGCTTGCCTCAAGATACATCAGTGATTTGAACACCTGAAACTTTATTTGTGTTCACTGTACTGTATAAGATTTTGGTGGGGGCCATTTGGGGCACACTATAAGCTGTTGCTCATCCCTAAGTGAGGGATTAAACATTCCACGTCCTTTTGTGTTGTTGTGTCAGTTCCTTGCAGATCAGCATTTCGCATCCCGGCCGTGGCCATGAGGATCCTTTGCCTGCTGCTGGCTGTGCTCTTTGTGGTGCTGCAGGGCGTTGCAGGTGAGATGTGACTTGGACAGGCTGGACAGTGAGCTGCCAGGAAGCCCGTGCAATTCAGCAAGGGGAAGTGCTGAGTCCTGCAGCTGGGGAGGAACAACCCCAGCACCACAACGTTCTGTGGACAGCCAGCTTTAGAGAAATGTGCATCATCTTTTGCTCATTTCCACAGAAAATGATTTTTCTTTTTTTCACTGTTCAGGTCAGCGCTACTTTCCTCAGCCTTTTGATACTTGTAGGCTTCGAAATGGAATCTGCACTCGAGGAATCTGTCGGAGGCCATATTACTGGATTGGAACCTGTAACAATGGAATAGGCTCTTGCTGTGCAAGGTATGTGGAAGTGCAAAGCATTCTTATGGCTATGTGTCACAGCTACCGATGTCACCATGGGTCGCTTTTCCAATGACAGCCCTGCTGGAACAGAGGGTCCTCAGGGGTTGTTCACATCCCATGGCAGGATCCGTTACGGTGCCATGAAATACAGCAGATAAACAATCCCAAATGAATGGCACCACAGACAAACTGCTTGGGGGGCAAGCTAAAACTGTCTGCTTTTCATCATACAGGGGCTGGAGGAACTGATGACTCCGTGACTTCTCCTGGAAATCCTTCCTGCATCTACCAACTGGCCTCTCTGGCACTCCAGTTCCATCACACCTGCTGGCAACACATCCTCCTGCAAAAACACACACAAAAAAAACAAAAAAAAGCAAGGGAATGGCTTTTAATACTTCCCTATGCTCTGAAGCAAATACTATCACCTGTGAAATCATAAATCTGAACCAGGCAGCATCTCCAAAAAGGCTTCTTTTCTCGCTTCAATACAATAAAATGACTAACACTGGCATTTCTCTGCTTGAACTTTGGCTATGTTTGTTGGGGAAGATGGGGATTTTTCCTTCATCTCCTTGCACCACAGGCAGTAACACGCAGGTGGGCTGGTGGCTTGTAGAGATGAGCATTCTGCAGAAATATAGGCTGAGACATTTCTGCAGAAATACAGGCTCTCTACAATTGCCTGGTGGGAGGTTGCTGCGAGGTGCACGTTGGTCTCCTCTCAGGTGACAAGTGATAGGACACAAGGAAATGGTGTCCAGATGTGCCAGGGGAGGTTCAGAAAGGATGTCAGGAAGAATATTTTCATGGAAATAGCCTTTTGGTGATGGAAGAGGCTCTGCAGGGAAGTGGTGCATTCGCCCTGCCTCTGGGTATTTAACTGACCGAGGGAGGTGTCCCTAAAGGACGTGGTTTAACGGTGGCCTTGGCAGTGTTAGGTGAGCGATGATCTTGAAGATCTCAACAGCAAACTTCTCACCACGAGGTTCCTTCACCTTCTCCTTGCCATCCTCTTCTCCCCGTGTCCTCCCTGCAAATGACGGGAAGGAAGGAGTGACCTTTGGTGACATTACTCAACACTTGTCGTCAGGGCGCGTCCACAATTAGCAGGAGCAGCATGAAATCCAACTGGGGAAATGTCCGGCTGTCAATGCAGTCATTGGGCACTTCTGCCTCATTCCAACGTTGCCAGGGCAATAAATATCCCGTGTAGGTCTCAAAGAATCAGGGACCAGGTAGCGACATCCTTTTGCTCCGGTGGTACAGTTGACAAAGCAGAGCAAAAGGGATGGCATCCAGAGGGAACTGGACAGGCTACTGAGGAGGGCCCATGCCAGCCTCAGGAAGTTCAGCAGCACCAAGTGAAAAGTCCTGCACCTGGGTTGGGGCAATCCCGAGCACAGATACAGGCTGGGCAGGGAATGACTTGAGAGCAGCCCTGAGGAGAAGGGTTTGGGAGCGCCGACTGATGAAGGATTCAACATGAGACAGCCATGTGTGCGTGCAGACCAGAAGGCCAACCGTACCCCGGGTTGCATCAAGAGAAGTGTGACCAGCAGGGCGAGGGAGGTGATTCTGCCCCTCTACTCTGCTCTGTGAGGTCCCAAATAGAGTACGGTATCGTGTTGTGAGGCCTACAACACCAGAAGGACATGGAGCTGTTGGAGCAGGTGCAGAGGAGCGCCACAAAGATGATCGGAGACCTGGAGTGTCTCCCCAGCCAGGACAGGCAGAAAGAGATCTTCTCATCCTGCAGAACAGAAGGCTCCAGAGGACCTTATAGGGACCCCCCAGCACCTGCAGGGGGCCTACAGGAACACTCTGCAGGGACCTTTTGTAGGGGCAGGTATTGACAGATCAAAGAGTAATAGTTTCAAACTGGAAAAGGGCAGATTTAGTCTAGGTATCAGCAAGAAAATGTTTACTCTATGGACAGTGAGGTACTGGAACAGGTTGCCCAGCAAGGTTTTGAATGGCCATTCCTTGGAAGCATTCTAGGCCTGCCTGGATGGGAATGTGAGCCACCTGGGCTACAGAGAGGTGTCCCTGTCTAAAGCAGGGTGTTGAAACTGGATGATCTCAAAGGTATCTTCCATCTATTGCCGTTCGATGATTCTTTGATTCTCTGATAATCAGGGAAAGAAATAGGAGGCTGGCATGTGTGCTGGACTAAGCGAATGCTAATATCAGAAAGGGCACCTAAAAAACAAAAGAAGAAAAATCAAGAGTAAACCTAAGAGGAAGAAGGGATTAAAATCTATCTTCTTATAAAATTTTGCATGAAAGATTGCATGTGTCTATGTTATTATTTCATACACTGCTATGCACGATATTAACGACAGCATAATTAAGAAGCTGAAAGTCAAGCAATGTTCATTCTTCTCTTGACAAGGAGAAGAAACACGAAGGATGATAGTAAAGGCCAAAGCATTATGCAGGCCAAGATGCTGTTGCAGCCCTGAGAGTAAAACTTCATCCTGAAGGCAGAAGTGGGACCTGAGCAGCAGTCTGTGCCTGTTTCCAGGTATTTCACATAGCCCTGTGGCCTAACGTCTCTCGCAGGAAGCGGGATGCTCTGAGAGGGATTGCACCAAGACCTGGGGATTTGTGGTCAAGCCGTCCAAAGTGCAGCCTCATTGGAAGGCAGCAAAATGCAGCACCAATTGGGAAGCAAAAGCCCTCTTTCATTGGCCAGTGGCTGCTCTGCCAGAGCCCTCAATCTTCACATAAAGAGGAGAGTTTGGGGCTGGGGATCCTGCCGGAGAAGACAGACAGAAGGCGGCGGTGCTCCTCCTCCTCCTCAGTGGGTAATCCCTCCTGTGGCTGCTTCTGGACAGGTGCCCTCTGCTCCTTGCCTTTATCCACTTCTTTGCTTTCATTGCGATTCAGTCCATGGGCACTGGGAGACACCGAGCTCTTTGCAGCCTGGAACTGCCCAGCCGCCTACAGAGGCTGCCATCTGCACAGCACTCAGTGCTCCAACCTGCCTTTTTCCTCCACAGCAGACCAGAATTCCAATTCCCTTATGGTTGAGGTCAGGCTTTCACTGCTGCTCAAGAGACAGTGGTGTCCTTCTCCAACTTGGAGAACAGTGACACTTGTCTTGGTCTCTGAATGCCACGGCAGGCTGAAGGTGAATGGTTCAGCAGTTGGTGTTGGTTTCAGAGTAGCATGTCATGTACCATATGGAAGCTGAATGAAAATTCTCAATGCAAGAAGACCAATATTCATAAAATCAAAGGTAGAATTTTGGAACAATAGGGTTGAAAGGAACTTTAAGAGCTTCTAGTCTCAGAAGTCTTGCAAACTCAAAGAAGAGGAGATGGTAGGCGTGCTTGCCTCAAGATATATTTATGGACTATTTGAATATTTGCAGTTTCTTTTCAGTTCACTGTACTGTATAAGATTTTGGTGGGGGCCATTTGGGGCACACTATAAGCTGTTGCTCATCTCTCAGTCAGCAGAAAAGCATTCCACGTCCTTTTGTGTTGTTGTGTCAGTTCCTTGCAGATCAGGATTTCGCATCCCGGCCGTGGCCATGAGGATCCTTTACCTGCTGCTGGCTGTGCTCTTTGTGGTGCTGCAGGGCGTTGCAGGTGAGATGTGACTTGGACAGGCTGGACAGTGAGCTGCCAGGAAGCCCGTGCAATTCAGCAAGGGGAAGAGCTGAGTCCTGCAGCTGGGGAGGAACAACCCCAGCATCAGGAAGTGCTGCGGGCACCAGCGGGAAGCGGCTCTGCTCTGCAGGAAAGGAGCTGGGGGTCCTGGTGGGCACCAAATGGGGCATGAGTGAGCAATGAGCCCTCAGTGCTAAGAGAGCCAGTGGTAATCTTGGCTGCAGTGGGCAAAGCCTCAGCAGCAAGCAGCAGAACAATCCTTGTATTCAAGTGTGGAGAGCCCAGCACAGTGCCTCCAAGGTGCAGCAGGGCCTGCAGCAGCGGTGCTGGGTAAAGAGGCTGTGAGAGCTGGGGCTGCTCAGTTCAGAGCAGGGGCAGCTCAGGGGTACGGCATGACCACAAATCCTACAGGAGGTGCCTGTAGCCCAGGAGCTGCCATCAGCAGCAGCGCTGTGCTGGACAGAGCAGGAGCCCTGGGCCAGGGAGCAGAGAGCGGTGGGGGTCCTTGTGATCTGATTAGGGGAGAGGAACTGGAGAGCATAGAGAATGTGCATCCACTTCTGCTCACTTGCTCTGTCAATTCCTTTCTTTTTTCCCACTGTGCAGGTGAGCCTTCCTTTTCCAGCCCTATTAATTCTTGTAGACATCGAAGGGGAATCTGCTTTCCTGGGCGATGTCGGTCACCATATTACCGGGTTGGATCATGTGGTGGAAGAGGCTCTTGCTGTGTAAGGTACGTGGAAGTGCAAGGCATCCCCAAGCAATGGCTGACAGCTGAGAGGCACAGCTGATGACAGCACCGTGTGTCACTTCTCCAGTGACAGCCCTGCTGGAACAGAGGGTTCCCAGGGGTTGTTCATGTCCCATGGCAGCCTCCATTGTGGTGCCATGAAATACAGCAGACAGACCCTGACCCAAATGAATTACACCACAGGATACCTGCTGGTGGGCAAGGAAAGGCTCTCTATTGTTATCATGCAGGGGCAGGTGGACCTGACGATTCCCTGGCTTCTCCTGGGAAATCCTTCCTGCATCTACCAAATGCCATCTCTGCACTCCAGCCCCATCACACCTGCTGGCACCAAACCCTGCTGCAAAAAAAGAAAGAAAAAGAAAAAAAAGGCATTCATTACTTCCCTCGCTTTGAAGCAGATATCAGCACTGTGAAATCATAAATATTTCTTCCTTGCTTCAATAAAATGTCTACACTGGCATTTCTGTGATAGAACCTTGGCTGTGTTTGTTGGGGAAGAAGGGGATTTTTCCTTGATCTCCTTGCACCACAGGCAGCAACAGGCTCTACTCTGCTCTGTGAGGTCCCAAATAGAGTACGGTATCGTGTTGTGAGGCCTACAACACCAGAAGGACATGGAGCTGTTGGAGCAGGTGCAGAGGAGCGCCACAGAGATGACCAGAGGGCTGGAGCACCTCTCCTACGGAACAGGATGAGAGAGCTGGGGATCTTCAGCCTGGAGAAGAGAAGAATCCAAGGGGCCTCATGGGGGCATTCCTGTACATACTGGGGGCCTACAGGAATGCTGGGGAGGGACTTCTTGTAAAGGCATGTAGTGAGAGGACGAGGGAAAATGACTTTAAACTGAAAGAGAGTACATTTAGACTGGATATCGATGATTCTGTAGTAACCTGGGACATAAATGAGAGGTTGGCAGGTGTGCAGCTTATCCTCTGGGTCTGCACAACCCGTGAAGGACCAAGTGAATGCTGACATCAGAAAGGGCACTGAAAGAGGAAAAAAATAATCATGGAAAAAAAATAATCAGGAGTATCCCAAAGAGGAAAAAGAGATGAAAATGTAATTTCTTCTAAAATTTTGCATGACAGATTGCATGTGTCCATGTTATTATTTCATACACTGCTAAGCACTAATTTAATGTCAGTATAATTAAGAAGCTGAAAGGCAAGCAATCACAGAATCAGAGTCACAGAATCACAGAATCATAGGGGTTGGATAGTAGGGTAGGTCACTATGGACCTCAGTGGGGTCATGATGGAGCTGTTATGGGGTCCCTATAAAGCTCTATGGAGTCATACTCATTCTTCTCTTGACATGGAGAAAAGACAACACGAAGGATGGCAGTAAATGCCAAAGCATTATGCAGGCCAATGATGGCCAAGATGCTGTTGCAGCCCCGAGAGTAAAACTTCATCCTGAAGGCAGAAGTGGGACCTGAGCAGCAGTCTGTGCCTGTTTCCAGGTATTTCACATAGCCCTGTGGCCTAACGTCTCTCGCAGGAAGCGGAATGCTCTGAGAGGGATTGCACCAAGACCTGGGGATTTGTGGTCAAGCCGTCCAAAGTGCAGCCTCATTGGAAGGCAGCAAAATGCAGCACCAATTGGGAAGCAAAAGCCCTCTTTCATTGGCCAGTGGCTGCTCTGCCAGAGCCCTCAATCTTCACATAAAGAGGAGTGTTTGGGGCTGGGGATCCTGCCGGAGAAGAGAGACAGAAGGCGGCGGTGCTCCTCCTCCTCCTCAGTGGGTAATCCCTCCTGTGGCTGCTTCTGGACAGGTGCCCTCTGCTCCTTGCCTTTATCCACTTCTTTGCTTTCATTGCGATTCAGTCCATGGGCACTGGGAGACACCGAGCTCTTTGCAGCCTGGAACTGCCCAGCCGCCTACAGAGGCTGCCATCTGCACAGCACTCAGTGCTCCAACCTGCCTTTTTCCTCCACAGCTGACCAGAATTCCAATTCCCTTATGGTTGAGGTCAGGCTTTCACTGCTGCTCAAGAGACAGTGGTGTCCTTCTCCAACTTGGAGAACAGTGACACTTGTCTTGGTCTCTGAATGCCACGGCAGGCTGAAGGTGAATGGTTCAGCAGTTGGTGTTGGTTTCAGAGTAGCATGTCATGTACCATATGGAAGCTGAATGAAAATTCTCAATGGAAGAAGACCAATATTCATAAAATCAAAGATAGAATTTTGGAACAATAGGGGATGAAAGGGACTTTAAGAGCTTCTAGTCTCAGAAGTCTTGCAAACTCAAAGAAGAGGAGATGGTAGGCGTGCTTGCCTCAAGATACATCAGTCATTTGAACACCTGAAAGTTTATTTGTGTTCACTGTACGGTATAAGATTTTGGTGGGGGCCATTTGGGGCACACTATAAGCTGTTGCTCATCTCTCAGTCAGCAGAAAAGCATTCCACGTCCTTTTGTGTTGTTGTGTCAGTTCCTTGCAGATCAGCATTTCGCATCCCGGCCGTGGCCATGAGGATCCTTTACCTGCTGCTGGCTGTGCTCTTTGTGGTGCTGCAGGGCGTTGCAGGTGAGATGTGACTTGGACAGGCTGGACAGTGAGCTGCCAGGAAGCCCGTGCAATTCAGCAAGGGGAAGTGCTGAGTCCTGCAGCTGGGGAGGAACAACCCCAGCACCAGGAAGTGCTGCGGGCACCAGCGGGAAGCGGCTCTGCTCTGCAGGAAAGGAGCTGGGGGTCCTGGTGGGCACCAAATGGGGCATGAGTGAGCAATGAGCCCTCAGTGCTAAGAGAGCTAGCGGTAACCTTGGCTGCAGTGGGCAAAGCCTCAGCAGCAAACAGCAGAGCTGATCCTTTCCTTGTATTCAAGTGTGGAGAGCCCAGCACAGGGCCTCCAAGGTGCAGCAGGGCCTGCAGCAGCGGTGCTGGGTAAAGAGGCTGTGAGAGCTGGGGCTGCTCAGTTCAGAGCAGGGGCGGCTCAGGGGTACGGCACGACCACAAATCCTACAGGAGGTGCAAGGGGATGGGGCTGTGCTCCATGGAGCCCAGGGCAGTGCAGGGACACAGGACACAGCCTGGAGCCCAGGAGCTGCCATCAGCAGCAGCGCTGTGCTGGGCAGAGCGGGAGCCCTGGGCCAGGGAGCAGAGAGCAGTGGGGGTCCTTGTGATCTGATTAGGGGAGAGGAACTGGAGAGCATAGAGAATGTGCATCCACTTCTGCTCACTTGCTCTGTCAATTCCTTTCTTTTTCCCCACTGTGCAGGTGAGCCCTCCTTTTCCAGCCCTATCCGTGCTTGTACATTTCGAAGGGGAATCTGCTTTCCTGGGCTGTGTCGGCCACCATATTACCGGGTTGGACCATGTCGTAGAAGAGGCTCTTGCTGTGCAAGGTACGTGGAAGTGCAAGGCATCCCCAAGCAATGGCTGACAGCTGAGAGGCACAGCTGATGACAGCACCGTGTGTCACTTCTCCAGTGACAGCCCTGCTGGAACAGAGGGTTCCCAGGGGTTGTTCATGTCCCATGCCAGCCTCCATTGTGGTGCCATGAAATACAGCAGACAGATCCTGACCCAAATGAATTACACCACAGGATACCTGCTGGTGGGCAAGGAAAGGCTCTCTATTGTTATCATGCAGGGGCAGGCGGACCTGATGATTCCCTGGCTTCTCCTGGGAAATCCTTCCTGCATCTACCAAATGCCAGCTCTGCACTCCAGCCCCATCACACCTGCTGGCACCAAACCCTGCTGCAAAAAAAAAAAAAAAAGAAAAAGAAAAAGAAAAAGAAAAAGAAAAAGAAAAAGAAAAAGAAAAAGAAAAAGAAAAAGAAAAAGAAAAAGAAAAAGAAAAAGAAAAAGAAAAGAAAAAGAAAAGAAAGCATTCAATACTTCCCTTGCTTTGAAGCAGATATCAGCACTGTGAAATCATAAATGCATTTCCTTGCTTCAATAAAATGTCTACACTTGCATTTCTAAAGTAGAACCTTGGCTGTGTTTGTTGGGGAGGAAGGGGATTTTCCCTTGGGTCTCCTTGCTCCTCAAGCAGAGGTGCTGGTTCTTCGATCTCCCCACTCATGCCCTGCCACACTCCCTGAATACAGGGAGATTATTTTCCTCCTGTTCCACAATGGCTCCTTTCTAGTGATATTCATGCAGTGACCATGGTACCTTCGTCAGAGATGAAACCCTGTTTCTCTCCATGAAGGGTGAGAGTGTCAAACAAGCATACATTCTGCTAGTTTCTAGGCTGATTTTTGAAGGTATTTTCATATTATAGTATTTTTCTAATAAGATGTCAGAGAGATTCCATATTTTCTGTCTCTTTTTCCCCATCATCACTACCTAGCAGTATAGAAAATGCTGAAGGTGAACCCATCTCCTTCCTTCAGCTTCCCTAGAGGCATTCAAGGCATTTCACTCCTGAGGGGACATCAAGAGAATGAAAACCAGCAGCATTTTACACGTCTTTAGAGCCCTGATATTAGCTCAAATTAGAAAGAAGACACAAGGAGGGAAAGAGAAGGAGACCAGCAAACACATTCTCACAGCACAGTCCTTACTGCTGCTGTACAGTAACACCAAAGGGATGGACTTTGTTCTTCTAGTCTGATCCATTTATCTCCGAAATCAAAGACAAGAAGAAAGGTGATCTGTCCATGGGAGCTTTAAACTCATGTTATGATTTCTCTCTGCTTACTCATGAAAACTACACGACAAAGTCATCAGCTCATTAGATAGCTTTTAGATAGCTTTTGTGTACTGTTGGAAGTATGTGACCGTGTGTTTATTTACTACATTTACATGGTAGCATCGACATACCTCAAAATGCCTTATGGCTAGAATTTAGTTCAATACACATGGCAGGGGTGAAGGGATTACATTATCACACAGCTGAGAAGCAATCTACGGTTTTCTGGGCCAGCAAACCATCGCTGTTGTTCATTGCAATGAGCAAACTTTCCTCTGGAGGTAAGGGGTGAGGCAGCAGACAGCTGTTACGTGTAGTAGCGTTTTAAACAGGAGTTACAATGCACAGGACCTTCTTAATACTTGCCTTTTTTTATTTTTTTCACTGAAAAACTATTAGAAATCCCCTTCTCCATCTCCCTGGCAGAGGTATTTCGGTTGTGATGATAGAAATGGCCGTGTAGAATCTGTAATTATCGATGTCAAGACTGCCCAGCGTTAAGGCCAAGTCCTTGGCATTAGTTGGATGTAGGAACTTGAACATGGCGAAAACCAACAGTGCATCTGTGTTTCCTTGAGGAATCAGGTTGAGTAATAATAACAGTTGCCAAGCTAACCACAAACTCTTGGCAAATTGTGAAGTAACTGCATCATATTTCACTTTGCTTCCCTCCACTTTTCTAAACTATGGTCAGAAATTCATGGATTCACCAGAAATCTGTCTATCACTTCTTTTATACTGAAAAAAAAAAAACCCAAACATTTTCAAAAGTATGTAGAAAATAGAAAGATATCTCGTTTATATCAAGACATGAATTTAAGAGAAAACATCTGTAAGCATATTTTCATATGCGTGTGTGCCCATGCTTATATGCACAGATGTATATTTATGTATGCTTAAGAAATTGATGTCAAAGTATGGAATAAATTACTACCAGTTGAGGTAGTTGCTTATTGAGGACCCAGTAAGCAATTAAATATCTCTGTTAAGTTCTGAGAATAAACGATCTGTGAGCCATCATACCATTTGTAGAGGATTTTGTCAAGCAGATTCACTTCTCTTTGAAAATAAAATATTTATCATATCATAGTAACAGGTGTCATACTAAAATGGTGCGTGAAGTGTTTTATTGGCTGAAGTGAGGTGTAAAGTAAAATAGGGTATGAAAAAATGCTTTGTGTTGTGTCTTTGGATAGTTATTGGGCATGCCAAAGTCAGCAAAGGGCTTGGTGGAGGGGAAGACTGATAGATTGGAATGGACTCACAGATCTCAGAGACTGTGCCTTTGTTCCTCACATTTTCACTGTATGGATTTGCAGATTGAGCTTGGATTGGATTTTGGTTCCAAATAGTGCCATCAAACAAAGTGAGTTTGAATGGTTGTTGGAAGTGCAGCTGTGCCCTCAAAACAGAGCCAATTTCAAAGCTACTGGATGGCTCATGGATTCTGAGTTTGAATATCTACAAGAACGAGCTCCTATAAATGCACTGAGAACCCGTCCAAGTATTTGACAACAATGACTGCGAGAGGTGTTTACTTTATACAGAACTGGAACCTTGGTTATACTTTGCACCTGACATCTCCCATCCTTCCTCCACGACCCTCAGATGAGAGTGTGCCTCCATCTTCTCTATCGTGACCATTAGATATTTATGAGCAGCAACTAAACTCCCTTTCAAGTGTCTTTTCTCCAAGCTGAACAAAGATGAGTCCCTCGGCCCCTCCTCATTTTGCTGACCCAACCAAGCCCTTGGTGGTGGTGTGGCCCACGCATGGGTCCATGCCCCATTAGGCACTGGAGCACCTTCAGAGAACCTTTGGAGTACTTGATAGCAAAACTCCTGGTTCGCTTTCCTCCTGAGGAATCCAGTTTGTGTGCATGTAAACCTCTCTGAAAACTGAACCAGAATGAAGTTGCAGAAGACTATCGGGGTTCAGTTAGAAACTGTGGGAACACAATTTGAACCTTCACTGTGGCTACTTGACCAGAAATGTTGGTGTTCACTGTAGACAAAAAGGCAAGGCAGTTGTTAGGAGCTGGGGGGGAAAAAAGCTGAAAACAAAAGAATAAACACAACTGGGCACTGTGCAAATTCAAGCTGCCTTTTTGTACCCTCAACCTGAGGGTACAGAGGCAGCTTCTGGCTCTGTATGTTCCTGAACTGGTGCATTTTCCATTAGTTGAAAGGCCACAGGGGGACACAGCCAGCATGAATTCACTGCTTCTGTGCGTTCTGTGTTCTTTACCAAAGCATTCTTACTGGATGCTAAGATGGACTGGGCACTAAGCCAGTGGGTTGGCGGTTGGTCTAAATGATCTTAGTGGCCTTTTCAAGCCTTAATAATTCTCTGATTCTATGAATCTAACGGTCTTTCATTTTAATTTCCTGTGTCCACTCTGTGTTCTTCTATTCCGTATTTACTGAACAGAAAATAAACGGACTGGGAGAGCAGAGAGGCACACAGTGCAATGTGCACATTGCAATGGATTAAATTGCTCCTGCCCAGAAACAGTTCAACATATGTCCCAATATGTTGGACCCAGACCACGGTGGCTTAACGTACCTTACATAAACTGGTGTGTCACAAGAGGTATTGCATGAGGAACCTGGGATTTTCCAGCAGAAAATCTTTGTAGGTTCAGAGACCGGCACTGCTTTTTGACTGGGAAGTGAGAAGAAACTTCATTCTGGTTGGGTTAGAAGTCACCAAAAAGATGGGTCACTTTTTGATTGGCTTGATGGGTACCTACTGGAAAGAGAAAGCAAGAATCACTACCCACAGCAAACGTTATAAAAAAGGCTCTCAGTCTCACAGCCAAAGCCCTCTGGAGGGAATAGACCAAGAGGTGTTCTTGTTTGGCTTCTGGGCACAGCTAATATCTGGTAACTTCTCAGTTCTTTTCAGTCTTTCTTTTAATGTCTTCTGTGTTTTTGGAAAAATATATATATATATATATGTGTGCATATGTGTGTGTGTGCTCAGCATTATTAATCTGAATTTGTAGGCTTCTAAAACAAATTGGATGTAAGTTGATCAGCGTTACAAAGGTTGAATAAGTAGTTCAAATATGTGCTAGTATCTCTGTAGGCTTTGAGAAAGCAGGCTTTGATAAAGGTACCCCACTTGTGAATTCCAAGGAGAAAAATGGGGTGAGGTCAGGCTGAAAAGCTGCTGGTCTCTTGGAAACCAAAATATACTTGGTATCAATACAAGAAGGCCATTTCATTTTCAGAATTAGGTTCACTTTGCTTACTTATTTCTCCTGGTATTTCCAAATATAGAGATTTTTGCTCCAACTTCTGATGCCAATTTCTAATCTGCTTCGGGCTGCTCCTTACCATTCCTTTTGCAAAAATGCAACATTTCATTGCAACCTCATTTCCCCGCAGTGCTTAAGAGAAAACAATTCAGAAGATTGGAAGATTGGTGGATCAGAAGATCCCCCAGCACCAGAATGGGTGATATCTCCCTTCTATCCATAAGCCCAGCTAAGACATCGTATCCCACTTTTCTTACACTAGTTGCTTTAGTCATTGACTCTTTCAGTGACTTCATTACAGGATTGCTTTTTAAATGTCTCTTGTCAGCTGGGAACAGGTTGGTTTGTTTTTGGAATTTGGAGTTTCCATTCCTGTGTGATCATCTGTAGATGAAAGCTGA